ATATAACTCATGGTACAGGACAAAACTGAGCAAATAGCCTAACATTTATTATATTTTATATTATTTTTAGTTTATTATATTTGTCAATGAGTACAATGATATATCCTTATAAATTTTTAAATTTTCAATGATAACCCCTTATATATCAATAATAAATTCCTTATATATCAATATAAATTGGCCATACACCCAAACTTTCAAAAAATTGGTCCATATTTTCTAGAGACAAGTTTTTTTTACCAGTGGTCTAATTTATCCATAATGATATTATATTTTGCTCAATACATTTTCAACTGTATATATTGCTCTATTTTGCCTTATTGTGTGTTATCTTCAATATATTTGAATAAAAAAATGTTGACGTGTAACGTGTTAATCTTAATTTGACAATGTTGGTATAAAAAAAAAAACCTTAATTTGACAATGACTGATAAAACATTATGAAAGACGAGTGCATTTTAATTTGTGTGCGACGAGCTCAAGATAAATCAATGTCGTGTAAACGTTAATTTGATAATGACGCATACAACATTATGAAACACGTACGACTGCATTGTAAAATGTGTACGACGGGCTCATGATAAATCAATGTTTTTACAATCATACTATAGATTTAAGGTTAAAAGTATACCGTTGTCCCAAAAAAAAGTAAAAAGTATATTTTTAATTTTTTTTAATTTTATAAAATGTATTTTTAATCATTTATCTTTAACACCCTTTGTCTTATGATAAAAAAATTTTATATTAAACTTTTAAATATTGATAAAATATTTTTAAATGTTAGTATATTAAATTTAGCTTTTTTAAATAACAATGATTGGTACAAATTGAAACTAATGATGGGTTAAGGGAATGAAAAGACAATAAAATTAAATTGAAACTTTAAAGAAATTTATAGAGCCAAATATATATATATACTTTGATCTAGATTTAATTAAAAGGTAACTTTGGAAAAAAAAGAAGAAGAAGAAGAAAGAAAGGATTTGATTAAAAGGCAAGGTTGATGAGTCGTATGGTTAATTGTAAATATATGCATATATATATATATATATATTTTGTTTTATTTATAAATCACTTTTAAATTTCAACATACTTTATTAAAATTGAAAAAATTTAAAATTTATTAATTTTATCTAAGAATTTAATACTTCCTCTAAATTACAATATAGGGCATTTGTAACTACTTCACAATAGTAAAAAACAGTTATGTGCGTGAAACCTTAATCTTTTAAAAAAAATTAAATCTTTTTAATTATATCCTTATTAAATATTTTATATAAGTGCCTTAATAATGATAATTAAAATTTTAAAAACATATTTTTTCAAAAAAGGTATATAAATGAAGTAAGATATAGTTGAAAAAATAATTATAAAAACTACCTAATATTCTATATTCTAGCACAAATAAAACTTTTAAAAGATATTCTAGTGTCTATATCATGGTCTAGAGGGAGTAAGTTTTTGAATTTATCCCTATTAAATATACATATTTTGCTTTCTATTGTTAACATTTAATGAATGATAAAAGAGAAAACTTGTAATAAAAAAAAAGTAATGACATAAATATCAATAAATATATAGGACAAAAAAAGTTTTCAGTAGTCTTCACTGTCCACCTTATATAGAGAGGATATGAGGAAGTATTTAACAAATCACAGTAATAACAATCAGACAAAATGATAATGAGATTATAACTACGCTTAATTAATGATTACTAGTGACAAAGCTAAGAGTCTAATAAGACGCATACGGGTCAGCATCCCTAATTGAACTGCAAACTTTTTAAACTGTTGATATTGTTGACATTCTACATATAAATATTTTTCCCAAGATATCTCCAAATATGATATTAATCTCTCGATGAATTAGAGCGTCATTTAAGAAGTTATTCTATTCTAAAAAATGCTCTCCATACACATTTTTAAGAATTCATGAATTCTGAAGTGATACCTACAGGACCCAAACTGCTACCATCAGAACGTTCTTTTAAAAAATAGTGCCCTTGCTGCTAATTGATGAGGAAAGAACACTTACGTGCTATGTCCCAATTAAATTAATATATGGTTAAAGGGTATTTTTGTCTTTCAATTATTTGTTAGAGAATACTTGTTATCTTAAACTTTCGTATGATGTAATTTTGTTTTTCAATTTTTCAAAATGGTGCATTGACTACCTTGTTATTAAACTAGTTTTGACCAAAAAAATTACAAAAAAACCTAAAAAAATAATTAAATCCCAAAAAATATTGCTAAAAGGGTAAATCGCAAATATTAATTTCTTTTGGCCAACTCAAAAATATTAATTTAACAACTTCATTTAATACTACTAAATGTCATTACTCAAGAAATTCTTGCACAAATTTCATGTACGACGTCATTTATGATCTATCTAATAAAAACATATCATGTTAGATAGTTATAGATATAAATTTATTTTATCAATGATAATAGTGGAGAGAGAAAAAGAAAATAAAGAAATAGTCATTAAAAATAAGAACACACGAGATTTTTTTATTCCAACGTTTAGGAAAACCTGAGTATTACTACATCCAGTCTAGAGAAATCTGAACCTCTGCTGAATAACACATAAGATTTTAATTATTTGATTTAATTAGTGCTAACGTAACATGTTTTTATTGGATAAACCATGAATTATGTGTTTTTATAGTCATTATCCTCGTTATTTGTTCATTGGGCAAATTCTGGATCGCCTAAAACGAGGAAGTTATTTTAACATATTTTTTATTTACTAAAACTTAATATTTTTTTTATAGAGTATAAAGTTTTTACGATCTAATATCCAGCTTAACCTTAGGCGGACTTAATTTTAGCTAAGTTGTTTATAATTTCATCCAAAAAATATAACAAATTCATATAAATTTGAAGTAAGTTTGAGAGTTTGAAAAAAAAAATATAGTAAAGCGTCAATTTTAATATTTTTATAAAAATAATTTAAAATATTTATTAAATTATAATAACAATGTATAATTTAATAGAATCAATACTAAAAACAATGCATAAGCCATAAAATTATGATAAGATAAAAAATACTCAATCTTTTTTATAAGATTAAAAAAATATTTTATATAAAAAAAATTTCTGTCTATATTAGAATCATGTTTAATTTTTTGAAAAAATTAATCATTGGTCCCTATAATTTTAATTCAATTATAACTCGATCCTTAAATTTTGATTCATTGTAATTCAGTTCTTATAGTTTTAACTCAATTATAACTCAATCTCTAAATTTTGTCTCTTGCAATTTAGTTCTTATAGTTTCAACCACTTAAATATTGATCCCTGTATTTAAAGAAATAAAGTTATAAATATTCAAAATATTTTAAACTTTTAATATTTATAATATTTATAATATTAATAATGAGATTATAAAGATTAAAATTATATTAAAAATTATTATTAATGTTTTAAATTATTAAACCCTTTTAATCTTCATAAATGTTATAAATATTAAAATTTTCAAATATTTTTCTTTATAATTTTATTTTTAAAATATAGAGATTAATATTCAATTGTCTAAAATATAGGGACTACATTATAAATGATAAAGTTTAGGGACTAAGTTACAACTAAATTAAAACTATGAGGATGAAGTTATAACGAATCAAAGTTTAAGGATTAAGTTATAATTGGGTCAAAATTATAAAGAACAAATAATTAATTTTTCCTAATTTTTTATGTTCATTAAATAAAATTTATATGTCTCCTTTTATAGTAGAGAATTTTTTGTAATAGATGACCAAGGGAATTTTTTGTGACAAAAATTTTTAAAAGAAATTTTTTTTTTAAATTATTACTTTACCATTCTAAACCTATTGTTATTGAAGGTTATAGTGCATCGATAAATTTTTCAATGGAATAAGAGAGATTTTATAAGAAAACAAGTGAAATATTTTGAAACGGCGGGGCAATTAAAATTTTTTTAAAGAGAAACTAAAATTATTTGAGTCACTTTTTTTTTCTTGAATTGTGGGGACAATTGTATTCATGGTTATATCCTTAAGTGTAAGGGTCATCACACACAACACAAGCAATAAAATTAAAGAAAAATATCATTCTCACGAGAGAATTAATGTAAAAGAGTTTTAAAATTTGCCATTGAACTTTAAATTAGGTTGAGCAAAATCATAACAAGTTCTTTAAACAAAAAACAAAGAAAAATTGAGTGTAAACTTGTTTTAATGTAAATAAAATTAAGTGAAACTTTGATTTCAAGAATAAAGGATTTTAGGACTTTAATTAATTAAGACCTGAGCTCATATATATATATATATATATATAGATCAAGCTCATCCGTTTTTTTTTTAACTCTAAATCTAATACCATTGATCATCACTACATATTACTTCAAAAATGAAAACGCCTCTTCACCTTTCAATATATTCAACCGTTCAATATATGCATTAATTGAAAGGAGACAAGAAATAACTATACTATTCCCTCTCCATTCCTTTAATATTTCTAGCTACAAGCACCTTTTAACTACTTTATACGAAAATTAAAAAACAAAACAGTTTTTTTTTTTGAGCCAAACAAACCAATTTTATTAATCATCAAAAAGCAAATTACACACATTAATCCCCTGTAAATCCAAAAAAGAACACCTAACAGTACAAACTAGAGAAAAGAAATAAAGCAGTAAATCTAGGATACAAACTAAAAGAAACAAAAAGACAAGAACAAACCAATCAACCAATACCCATCTATATGTGTATAATTGATTATCAATAATCATTCATGTGTCGCGTGATTAATTAATGAATGTTTTGTAGACTAAAATATCTGATTCTAGAAATCATTCACTTGCTTTATGTTTTTAAATTAAACTGTCTCTGCCACTAGTTGCTATTAATTATTTCGCAAATAAGTGGTCCTTCACTGTTATTTTCTCCACTAGATATTACCTCTACGTAATTCAACAATGGTCAATCCTTCTATATATAGGACGCACCTGGGCTCAACGATTCAGTGTCTCACTTGGCTTACTCTTTCTTCACTTCAGTGTCCGTGATGGAGTCTCTTCGTCTGCTTGCTGTTTTAGCTCTGTTATGTGTAAGCTTCTTCAATTTTCTTCCACGTTTCATTAATATTTTCATCTAAACATCTTCTGTAGTTTTAATTAACTGTGCTTCCCAAGACAAATGTTAATAATATTCGGTCATGAGTCCACTTTGAGGAGCTTCAAAAGTGAAGCAGAGCTTATACGTGTAAGAAACTCTTTCATTTAATAGGCTTTTTTTGAAATGAGCTCTTTCTCTTTCTCTATATTTGTGCTCGTAACATTGACCTTTAATTATTAGCAGAAGATAAGTGCAATGCCCTAGCCTGGAGCCATAAGGGATGTCAACTCTCGAATAGGGTGACACTTATTGTTATGACTCCCACAAGTGAAGTGAACATTAATAAGTTCAAGGAATTTTTTAATTTTTTTTGCCTAACATGCTGTTCTTTTGGAATAAGTTTTTTTTTTTAAAAGAAATTGTGACTTCATTCTGACGGATCATGTTATTACTTTTTTGTTTATAGTTACATCACAAAATCAAAACACTTAGATATTACGTAAATAAAGTTAAATGACAACTCCGTGGTGCATGTTTTGCTATGGATAATATATTTGTAGCTTGCTGCTGCTGGGAGGGACGATGTGACGTCGTCTCATTCGGCTGAAGAATACTGGCGTTCAATCTGGCCAGACACTTCTTTGCCAAAGAATTTAGAGTATCTTTTGGGATCTGGTCAGTACTTTAAATTCTCAAATCTCTATTTGAATTCCTTGTTTTTAAAATATATATATATATATATCAGCTCTTACAGCTGTATTATATTTGGAGGAAAGAAAAGAATGAATAAACTAGAGAGTTAAAATAAAAGGGGGAGGGGAGAATTATACACAAGTACCAAAAAGAACACAATTAAGAGATAATAAAAATGTTAATCTCTCATGTTTATTTCAGTTGTCAATTTTGTCCGTCAAAATTTAATTTATATCAATTTGATTTATTAATTTATTTCAGTTATCAATTTGGTTTTTATTGTTTAAAGAGAAAATAAAATGATTACTGACATGAATAATGGAGTATTAATGACAACTATGTAGATTAATGAAAAAATGTAATTATTTAGGTAGAAAAAAAATTAAACCCAAAAACTTAAAAAACCTAAAAACAAAACACAACTTAAAGAGCTAAATTAATAAAAATTAAATTGATTTACTGATTAATTTGTTCTCATTTAGCTATATAAACACGTCAAGTTATAAATATACTTTTTTTAGTTATTAATATACTTTACAAATTAGATCAATTTGAGAGTTAATTCATGTTTTAAAATTTAAAGGGCTAGCATGATAATTTAAGAAAAAACATAAAAAATTAAATTGATAAAAATTAAATTTAAAGGATTTAAAATTTATAATTGACGATTACAAATTTTATTATGCCTACAATTAAATATTACAAAGGTGCATTAACAATTGAACATAATAAAAGGACAACTTTAATTATGTTGTAGGGTAACCTGATCCTCTCTTAATCTGATTTAATTTGAATCAGTTTAGTGTACTATACACCGAGCTGTGGCCGAGCAACGAACACTTGAGAGGGGGCACGTTGGTCCTATACATTTTTATAATTACCTCCACTAGCCCCAGGATTTTGCACCTCTAGATTTTAAATCCAAGTTTACTAAGTTATTTTTAAAAAAGAATATCATTATATACTTTAACAGTTTTTAATCCCTCAAGTTTGTCTTAGTTAATGATTTGGTTTCTGAAGTTTAATTTTTATTAATTTGATCCTTTATTACTTCAATTATTGATTTAGTTCTTATTATTTAAAGAGAAGATAATACTATTAACATCTATTGATATAAATAATAGAATATTGATGACAATCATGTAAAGTAATGAAAAGAAATGTAATTGCTTAGTTAAGAAAAAACATATTCTAGAATTTTAAAAAACAAAAGAACAAAACGCAATGTGAGGAATTGTATTGATAAAAATTAAATTGATTTGAAAACTAATTTGTTCTCATATAGCTATAGATACTTGTCTAGTGACCAATATACTTTACATATTAAATTAATTTAAAAGTCAATTTCTGTGTTGATACTTAAAAGACTCACATGATAATTTTAGAAAATATAAAGGATCAATTAATAAAAATTAAACCTGAGGAACCGGATTGATAACTGAAACAAACTTGAAAACTAAAAATTTTATTATCCCTAAATTAAACTATAAATATTTTTTGCTTCATAAAGAGATCAACCTCAAATATTGTGCATAATATTATAGTTGGACGTACATGTTGAAACATGATTCCAAAAATTCCCCATCTTTTCAATGCCACAATTTATAATGCTTATTTTCTTATACTTGTACAATCTTAAATTAACAAATACTAATTTGGTAATGCCTAGGAGGTGTGAACGAAGGAGAAATTAAAGATACTCAATATCCTTATACTAGTTTCTTTGAAGATGACCTTCATCCTGGCAAAGAGATGAAGATAACATTTAACTCGCCTTACCCAACTCAACCTTATGGCATCCTAGCATTGAAAAGGAACAATATGAATGAAAACTCAAAGAAGCCAACTTCAACTCAACCTTATGGTGTTTTTGCATGGAAAAAGAATAGCATGAATGAAAACTCAGAGAAACCAGCTTCAACTCAACCTTATGGTGTCTTTGCATGGAAAAGAAACAATATGGATGTAAACTCAAAGAAGCCAGCTTCAACTCAACCTTATGGTGTCTTTACATGGAAAAAGAATAATATGGATGAAAACTTAGACAAGCCAGTTACAGCTCAACCTTATGGTGTCTTTGCATGGAAAAGGAACAATATGGATGCACATTCAGAGAAACCAGCTTTAACTCAACTTTATGGTGTCTTTGCATGGAAAAGGAACAATATAGATGATAACTCAGAGAAGCCAGCTTTGGCTCAACCTTATGGTGTCTTTGCATGGAAAAAGAATAATATGGATGAAAACTCAGACAAGCCAGTTACAACTCAACCTTATGGTGTCTTTGCATGGAAAAGGAACAATATGGATGCACACTCAAAGAAGCCAGCTTTAGCTCAACCTTACGGTGTCTTTGCATGGAAAAAGAACAATGTTTATGAAAACTCAGAGAAGCCAACTTCAACTCAACATTATGGTGTCTTTGCATGGAAAAGGAACAATATGAATGAAATCTCAGAGAAGCCAAATTCAGCTCAACCTTATGGTGTCTTTGCATGGAAAAGGAATAATATGGATGACAACTTAGAGAGTCCTTCTTCAACTCAACCATATGGTGTCTTTGCATGGAAAAGGAATAATGTGGATGAAAACTTAGAGAAGCCAGCTACAACTCAACCTTATGGTGTCTTTGCATGGAAAAGGAATAATATGGATAAAAACTCAAAGAAGCCAGCTTTAGCTCAACCTTATGGTGTCTTTGCATGGAAAAGGAACAATATGGATGCAGACTCAATGAAGCCAGCTTTAGCTCAACCTTATGGTGTCTTTGCATGGAAAAGGAATAATATAGATGACAACTCAGAGAAGCCAGCTTCAACTCAACCTTATGGTGTCTTTGCATGGAAAAAGAACAATAAGGTTACAAACTCAGAGAATTTAAGCTTGGAATCAATATGCAACATTAAGGAAAGGTTTATAGGAGAAAATGACAAGTTTTGTGTAGAGTCCATTGAATCATTACTTGATTTCGTCATTTCAAAGCTGGGGAAGGACATTGAAGCTCTAACAAGCTCCTTTGTCCCTCATCAAACTCAATATACAATATTGGAAGGCGTACAGAGGGTTTCAAATAAAGGAGTGATGTGTCACAAGTTGAATTTTGAGAAGCCTATGTTTTATTGTCATCAGGTGAATGGAACAATAACTTATATAGTTCCTATGGAAGCTGCAGATGGCACGAGAACAAATATAGTGGCTCTTTGCCATCATGATACAAGAGGCTTGGATCCTCATAAGTTGTTCCATCAACTTAAGGTCATGCCAGGAACTGTGCCTATTTGCCATTTTTTAGGCTCGGGAGCTATTTCTTGGGTTCCAAAGAACAAGGACCTTAAGGTTGCTTACTAGGCAAGCCAGGCTACCTAGGTTGACCTCTTTCAATTATGACTTATAAATAAAGCACCACCATGTATCGTTATGTGTTTAGATGTTGTGTGCTAGATAAAACTATCTGTATAATGCTTGTATGTTATGTAATATATGTATTATATTTGTGATATAAAAACATTAAAATCTATAATCCTGTTCGGTGTAGTTTCTCACTTTTTTGACAAAGCAATAAATAAAAGACAAACTCCTTGTTCTAGCTAAAGCATCAAGTCTCATGCAGTATACTTGAAGACTAAGGCCATGTTACATAACAGAACCTAAAACATAAAGTTCAATTTTTAATTAGGACAACACCTTGCAACAATGAAGATGTAATGAACCAGCTTAATATTCATATGGACTAGGATTATGAAGAGTACACTAATGGGCCGATCATTTTAGGCTTAAAAGGAACTGAAAGGGTATAAGGTGAAGATATATGGATAAAGGAAATGCTAACAATATGGTAGATGAATTTTATGAAGACTCTTCCCCTCTTTGAAGTTTTCTTTGGTCTTTGGCCATAATCTAGTGATTGTGGAGCTTTACTTCTCTTCTGTTATTCCTTCTCTCTATATATATATATATATGTCATTAGTTGCTTATATAAATGTTATTCTTTCTCCTCTATTATTCCTCCTTGTATTATATAAATGTTAGGGTTGCTTATATATTTGTTGCTGGTTCAACCTAGGAGGAATTCTTCAAACCTTAAGACACCTTTAGATCTTAGCTGTGCTAGAATTTAGGCATTGAAAGTATTGAAATCAAGAGATTGGACTTTTTGAAGACATTTAAAGCTTCATTTCTTCAATTTTTTTTGTTACTCTTCCCATTTCCTCTATTATATTCTTATATGGGCTAAAATATTTTGTATATTTGTATCTTTTGAATGATTATGAGTAGCTAAACTCTTACTCTAGGATTATTTTAAATCTTTGAACAGATTAACACTAATTTTCTCCTCTCTTTGTAATTAGATTAATGATTTATAAGTGTTGATTTTATTCTGCTTTTCTTCATGCTTTCAAATATTTGGTCACTATTTAGTTGTTTTGTTCATTTGGGTGATGCTCGCGAGGGCAACCTTGAGTATACAACTTGGATAAAATATTTAGTGCAAGATCTTAAAAATTTTACGATGAATGGATTGTTTTTTGTTAGTAAGATAGAGATATACTTGCTAACATTTCATAGCTACATTAGGATTAGAGTTTAAAATTAGATTTTATTAATTATAACAAAAGATTAAGAAATTAATTAAATTAAACACTTGTTTATGAATTGAGAGAGCTTTTTTAAGTATTTTTAAAATCCTACATTGGCACTTATTTTCATTAAAAATATTTATGAAGAAAGTAATTTTAGTATTATGAAATGCAATGGGATAAATAATCATAGATCTCAATTGTACTTAAAATCTAAGAATCATTTACTTTTTTATTTTCTTATTTTATTATAGTTTTTAAAACCAATCTTCTTCAATTAATTAATTGAATTTGCAATGTTTTTTGTTTAATCATATTTTTAATAAAAATATTTATGAAAATGATACATCATTTATATTTTGATTGCTTTGTCATGCCCGTGCACTTATTATTTATCACTTGGTCCTAACGGGCAACTTTCCCTTATGGATCCCATGAGACACACGAGACACATCAAAGATGGAGCCCAATATACGTGCTTCCTTTGTTTCTATATATAAAAAAATCATATCACAAAATTTAAAAAAATTAATTAACTATAATAATTACACCTGAAAATAAAGAAATTGAACTAAAATGCCTTGTGTGTTAATCAATATAAGTATATATTAATTATTTCTCGTTAATATAAATTATGAGGATAATTTAAAAAATTTGTAATAAATACTTATTAAGATATGTGATTTTGCCTATAAAAAAAATATCAAAAGTGAAAGATTCTCTAACAAGTGAAAACAGAGAGAGTAGCTTTAGTGTCCATGTGTAATGTATAATAGTATTGCTTGTAGGTTAGATAAGTAAAAAGGCAAGTTAAGATTATATATAGGCAAAATTTATTTGTGGGAACACCTCTAAGAATTTGTTTTATCAACAAAAGAATTAAAAATAAGCAAAAATTTAATAATAGGTTGCAGGTATTTTGATTGCATTTTTGATTTTGCTCTCTATAATTTTATTTTATTGTTCCCAATTTATTATGCTATGTTAGGATGGACGTGAATTTAGATTTAAACTAAATTTATCATTTGAATAATAAAAAATATTTAGGTAATTTTAAGTCTCTGTTATTTAAAATTTCAATGAAAGCTCATCTCTTCCTTCATGTTCATTCGTCAACTTTACTATCCTTTGAATCCACAACGCAAGCAAGCGAGAGAGTGCTCCTCCGTCACTGTTCCGGCTGCTGCATTGTCACTATTACCATCTTCATCGTCGCCCCTGTCACGGTTGCAGCTGCCGTCACCATTTGAGTTGCCAAAGATCAAATTGCTTCTTCCTTGATTGTGTGTTGATCAACACTCAGCATATATGCATGCTCTCTTAGCTGGTATGTTTTACATGCACTTAGCATAAACAATAGCGTTAAGACTTGGTTGATGCGTTTTCTACCAGGATTGGATCAAGTTATTTTTCTTTAATTAGATAGGCTTTCATCTTTTGCTTTACTCATATTTGAAAGCCAATTTAACTTTGAATATGTACTTAATTTGGGTAGGGTCCTTAGAAGGGACATGCCAATTCTTAAACTCTGAATGATAAGCATGATAGATACTAAAGGAATCTTATATCTATTGGTTTCTATTTTCTAAGCATATGCTGACCATTGGATTTAAGATGGACACATTATGTTTGCTGTTCCTACTAGGTTTCTATTCACTCCATGGGATTTATTAGAGTTATTTAAGCCTCTGTGATTTATATATACTCTGGTACTGATGTATTCTTCTGCTTGATTGAAATATCAACTGTAAATATTTCTACTGTAAATTAGTGGTGAATAAAAAGATATTCTGAGAATATCTCACTTTATTTTCTCCCATAATATAGGGTGATAGGACCAGCACTAATAATAGCTATTTCTAGAGATTAATGACAGGAAAATGATGAATATTTCACTGGTATCCTCTATTACGAAAGGAAAATGTAGAGAATACACTCACTAATCAGCCTTACTCACTCTAGTTATGGAATGGGAACAGAAAAAGAAAAGAAATGACCCCTGAATAACCTGGTTTTCGAGGGGCCAGGCCCTCTCCCCAAAGACGATACTCCCTGCCTTCCTATGACTTCCCTCCCTCCTTTTTTACCCCTCCACTACCTGACAGTGTCAGGTTTCGTTATTTCTACTCTGTCCCTGTTCCTGGGTATTTCCTTTAGGCCTTCGCTTGTATACGTGGCCCCAAATGTTGGCAGGCCCAACATTTCCCTCCCCTACAAGTAACACCTTGTCCTCAAGGTGAAAGTGGGGAAATTGTGCCATTAGCACTTCTGCATCCTCCCAAGTATTCTCATGGTCAGGTAGATCTTTCCATTTAATTAAAATCTGCAACTTTCCATTGTTGATCCTCCTCACGCTCTTAGCTTCTTCCGGCTGAATTTGCAACTTCAGCTCTTCTGTGAGGCCCTTAGGGAGGGGTTAGGCAGTGATTGAAGGTTTTAGAGCCCGTTTTAGCTGAGATACATGGAATACATTATGTATTCGAGCTGCTGGAGGTAACTCTAGCTTGTATGCTACTTTGCCAACCCTCTCCAAGATTTTATAAGGGCCATAAAATCTAGGGAACAGCTTTTCATTAGGTTTCTTGGTTAGTGATTTGTACCGATACGGTTTCAATTTAAGGTAGACAAAATCTCCTTACTCAAATTGGATTTCCCTTCGGTGCTTGTTTGCTTGATTCTTCATCCTTACTTGAGCCTTCTCTAGTTGCCTTTTGAGTTCGTCCAAAATCAAGTTTCTTTCCTATATCAACTCATCCACTGCTTGGACTTGTGAAGGCTGATCCTTCCATTTCAAAAATGTCGGTGGATCTCTCCCATATAGTGCCTTGAAAGGAGTTATCCTAGCAGCACTGTGATAAGTGGTATTGTACCAATATTCAGCCCAAGATAACGATTTAGCCCACTTTTTTGGAGCTTTACCAGCAAAACACCTCAAGTAGGTCTCTAAAGTTCTATTGACCACCTCAGTTTGTCTGTCGGTCTCGGGGTGATAGGAAGAGCTGAACTTGAGAGTGGTTCCTGCCAAGCTAAAAAGCTCTCTCCAAAATTGACTTATAAAAACACGGTCTCTATCGGATATAATAGAACTCGAGAACCCATGCAATTTGATAACCTCTCGTACCATTAATTCAGCCACCTCTCTAGTACTATATGGGTGCGATAAAGGGAGGAAATGCCCATACTTGGTTAAACGGTCAACCACTACCAAGATTGTGTTAAATCGGCCACTTTTTGGCAGTCCCCCTATGAAGTCCATACTAATATCTTCCCATGATGCTTGGGGAATAGGCAACGGTTGCAAAAGCCCAGGGGGATTTAGAGCCTCATACTTGTTGCGCTGGCAAACTTCACATCTCGCCACATACTCTTGAATATCTTTCTTCATACCTTCCCAAAATACCATTGCAGTGAGGTACTTGTAAGTCCCTAAATGCCCCGAGTGGCCCCCCATAGGTGAGTCATGGAATTTTGTAATCAATGCTGGAATTTTCTGAGAACTCCTGGGTAGCACTAATCTCCCTTTAAAATATATCACTCCTTGTCTCATAGTATATCCTTTCGGTGCTCCTTTGCCTTCTATTAATTACTGCATAATCTCTTGAAGACGTGTATCTTTTGAAATTTCAGCAACCAGCTCGTCGACCCCATCATACTGCCACATAGACACAGCCCTTAATTCCAATTCCATATCACGTCTAGATAGTGCATTAGCCACACGGCTTTCTCTTCCGGGCTTATATTGGATTTGAAATTTATATCCCATGAGTTTTGTCACCCACTTTTACTGATCAGGTGCTAGGACTCTCTGTTCGAGGAGATATTTAAGGGCTTTCTGGTCTGTTTTGATAATAAAAGGCTGGTTGGACAAGTAGTGTTGCCACCTTTTGACTGCCAATACGATAGCCATTAATTCTCGCTCATAAACAGAATTTTGTTGGCATTTTTTAGATAACTTCTGACTGAAATAAGCTATGGGTCGTCCCTTCTGCATCAGAATAGCCCCTACTCCTCTCCCCGAAGCATCTGCTTCCACTTCGAAAGGCTGACTGAAATCAGGCATTGCCAACACGGGCAGAGTTGTCATGGCCTCCTTGAGATCTTCAAAGGACTTCTGAGCCTTTTTATCCCATTTAAAAGAGTCCTTTTTGAGTAGGTGAGTTAGTAGGGCTGCTATTCTACTGTATCCCTTCACAAACTTGCGATAATATCCTGTGAGACCAAGAAACCCCCTCAATGCCCTCAGATTCTTTAGCTTCAGCCATTGCAGCATCACTGTGATTTTGGAAGGGTCAGCTTTCACTCCTTCCGCAAAGATGATGTGTCTCAAATACTCAATCTGGTTCTGTCTGAACATGCATTTTTTTGGATTCACCACTAGTTGATGTCGCTCTAACAGCTATAGAGTCTTCCTTAAATGCTCTTGATGAGACTCCTTGTCTTTACTATACACCAATATATCATCAAAGAATACAAGTATAAACTTTCGTAGATAATCTTTAAAAATGTCATTCATAAGAGATTGAAAAGTAGAGGGTGCATTCATCAAACCAAATGGCATAACCTTGAATTCATAGTGGCCGTCATGAGTGCGAAAAGCCGTTTTGGGTTCATCTCCCTCTTTTATTCGAATCTGATGATAACCTGACTTGAGGTCCAACTTGGTGAAAATTGTTGCTCCTCCCAACTCATCTAATAACTCATCAATAGCTGGAATAAGATATTTGTTAGGCACTGTAATACGATTTAGGGCTCGGTAATCAACACAGAACCTCCAGCTACCGTCTTTTTTCTTTACCAGTAGCACTGGGCTTAAGTAAGGGCTTGTACTAGGTTGTATTATCCCTGCCATCAGCATTTCTTTAACCAACTTCTCAATCTCAACCTTTTAGGCATGTCCATACCTATATAGTCGTGTGTTTGTAGGTTGTGAGCCTTCTTTGATGATTATGGAGTGATCATGAGTGCGTCTTGGTGGCAATCCCTTACTTGATTCACACACAGCAAGGAATTCCTCAAGTATCTTAGCCTCATCGCCCTGTACAATCAATGGAACTTCCTCATCATGCTGCTGCAAAGTTGCTAACTCGATTAAGTACCCTACTCCAATCTCCTGAATATTTTTCTTCATTATCCAAAGTGAGACTTAGGCGTGCGATAGGGAAGGGTCTCCTCTGAGGCATACCCACTGTTTTCCAACTTTTATTTTCATATAAAGCTGCCGCCAATTCATGCGTTTTTCCCCTAGAGATACCAGCCACTCAACCCCTAACACAAGGTCCACGTTACCCAAATTAAACGGGTAGAAGGATTGTTCAATCTTCATCCCTTGTATCTCTAATTCCACGGTGGGACACTTAAGATTAGAGAACACTTTCCGTCCATCTCTGACAGTAACTACGTATCGCTTAATGGTCTTGGTTGGAATCTTGAGCTCTTCAACCAACATTGCAGCCACGAAGTTATGCGTGGCACCACAGTCAATTAACACAGATACCTATCTTCCGCGTGTCTTCCCTTTTAGTTTCAGCGTTCGTTTCCTCGTAAGACCCACTGTAGTAGCCATGGATAATTCCATGGACGCGAGCTCCTCCTCATTATTGGGCTCTCTCGTTTCAATCACGGTTCTTTCTTCTGTTGGGCTAATGTCCTTATCGTCCAAAACCAAGAGCCTATATTGTCTATTCTTACACTTATGGTTTGGGCCAAACTTCTCTTCACACTTAAAGCATAGGCCCAATTCATGCCTCCTGTTTATTTCAGCTTCAGAGAGACACTTGCGTGGTATCACACTGCTGCTACTGCTAATTGACGAGGTGATAGAGCTTGCCAGCTTTACTTGCGTCGACCTGGTATCCTCGTTTGTCTTCACCCCCAGGTCTTTGTCATCGGTGGCACGCTCAGATTCTTAGACGTCTCCATATAATTGAACTTAGGAGTCACGAGTTTCAGATCACTCCATCGGCTACCACCAAATGTTGTTTTTGTTGCCCTGCTTTTCTTCTCCTCCAGTGCCTTTTCCTTAATTCTATTTCTATCCTCTACCTGACCTGTGAAGTCCATGAGTTCCTTTAAGGTCTTGGGGTGCATATGCCGTACATCAGCTCTAATTTCTTCATTCAATCTGTTCAGAAAGGCCCCCATTAGCATTTCATCGGGTACAATGGATAAAGGGGCTGATAGCACTTCAAACTTCTCTCTTAATTCAGCCACTGTCGCTTCTTATTTAAGTGCCAAAAAACGCTCGTGTTCTCCACCAATTTGCTTACAATGAAACCTGTCTGTCACTTCTCTTTTAAACTCCTGCCATGAGTGCACTGGAGTGCGTGTGTCAAGCCATTGGAACCACGCTAAGGCTTTACCTTCTAAACTAACCACAGTAGCATCCAGCTTTTCCGTTTCTCCAACTCCATTCACTGTGAAGTATCGCTCTACCCTGAAAATCCATCCCAATGGGTCCTCACCATTAAATAAAGGAAATTCAAGTCGACGGTGTTTAAGACCTTTATTTTGTCCAATGCCTTCTCGGTCATCAGTGTTTAACCCTGTATCCCTGGTTTCATTCCTTGGTTCGTCCTCCGGTGGAGGTGGCGGTGGTGAAGGTGGTTGAAGAGGTGGCGGGTTGTTAGCTTCTATAGTGTTCTTCAACTCCTCCAACTGTCGCAAGATGAGCACCATTGAAGCTTCGACACTGGTAACTTTTTCTATAGTCTCCCCTTATTTCCTTTGCATTTCTTCCACTACTCGTTCTAAATGCTCAACTCTTCCCTCCATTCTAGTACCAACCATACCCCAGAATAGATGGCTCTGATACCAAAATGATAGGACTAACACCAATAACAGCTATTTCTAGAGATTAATGACAGGAAAATGATGAATATTTCACTGGTATCCTCTATTATGAAAGGAAAATGTAGAGAATACACTCACTAATCAGCCTTACTCACTCTAGTTCTGGAATGGGAACAAAGAAAGAAAAGAAATGACCCCTGAACAACCTGGTTTTCAAGAGGCCAGGCCCTCTCCCCAAAGACGATACTCCCTGCCTTCCTGTGACTTCCCTCCCTCCCTTTTTACCCCTCCACTACCTGACAGTGTCAGGTTTCATTATTTCCACTCTATCCCTGTTCCTGGGTATTTCCTTTGGGCCTTCGCTTGTATACGTGGCCCTAAATGTTGGCAGGCCTAACATTGGGCTTTGCTAAATATGTTGAATGGAGTGCAAATATGATGGAAGATGATGCAAAGCGGAGGATGAAGGATGCAGAGCTTCAGGCAAAGAAGAGCAGGTTAAGGATCTGGACATATATACGATCGGCTACAAATTCAAAAGCAATTCATGACCTGAATTTTACAGGAAAGGTAAAGTTTTGTCCAAACATATCCTTACAATAAATAATCAAATAGTAATGTCATCTTATAATACTTTAAGTTGACTTTTCCAGGTGGTAAAGTTTGTAGGTGGGGATTGCATAATTGTTGCTGATGATTCCATCCCATATGGTAGTCCACTAGCAGAACGACGAGTCAACCTGTCAAGTATCAGGTGTCCAAAGATTGGCAATCCTCCAGTCATGCATAAAACTGACCTGACTATTTCTGGAAAGAAAGGAATCCATTCTGCCAAGGATCCTCTAGTCATGCATATAACTGACTTGACCATAGTGAGAATAATGATTGTTATGTTGAATTTTCTTTCTACTTTCAAGGTTATAAAATATGACTTGGAACTTTTTGCCCCACTTAGGCACCGGCCAAGAAAGCTGTTGATTCCCAAAGAAACATGCAGCATTGCCTTTTCATTTTTTTGGTATCAAATGTCCTGGTCATGATGAGCCATATTTTGATGAAGCAATTGCACTAATGAGACAAAAGATTATGCAGAGGGATGTTGAGGTAATCCAATTTCTGAGTGTAATATTACTTCATTTTTGCTTTCATTTATACAATATATATTCTATGCAGATTGAAGTGGAAACTGTCGATAGAACTGGAACTTTCTTGGGATCCTTATGGGAGTCAAGGACCAATAGCTGTACTTCTTGAAGCTGGCCTTGCAAGAGTCCAAACCTCCTTTGGCATCCTGATTTTCACCTTTTCGAGCAACCTGAACAATCTGCGGCAAAAGCTTAAGGTAAGAAAGGAACTACTATGGTCTTATTACTGCTTCTTTTTCCTTTCAAGTATTCTAAGATGAATTGTTTTGCAGATTTGGGAGAACTACGTTGAAGGGGAGGAAGTGTCCCATGGTGCAGCGGCTGAAAACAAGCACAACCGCAAGAAGTGCTCAAGGTGCTTTGGATACACTTTTCATAAGTGATCCTTGTGTTTAAAAATGTGAATAACTTACTTATTTCTATAAATTGTCAGCGAGGTGGTAAATTCTATGTACAGACTGTTGGTGATCAAAAGATAGCATCGATTCAGCAACAACTTGCTTCTTTGAGCCTTCACGAACCTCATGTTCTTTTGTCATTTTCTAGTAGACAATTCTTGGTACGGGGCAATGGTGAGTTCAAGCCTGAAACCTTAGCTGTGTATTCAAGCCTATGCAGAAAACATTGACAGTTAAATAGGGATTGAATTCGTGGGGTGAGGGAATTCTCCTGATGGTTGCTTTTTCGTAAGCCTGTTCCTCTATAAAACTTAATTTTCTTCACCCTAGAGCTGCTTTTATTTTTCCTTACGTAAGATGCTAATTCCATTTGATAAAACTAAAGTGGATTTCATCTCATTAATCTGATTTCAAATTTTTATTTGATACTGCATCTTTTTTCTTCTAACCTGTAATGATTCCAGGATTAGTTAGGGTATTAGATAACATCACAAGGCCACTCTTTAAACACAAGCAGGTTATTTTACTTTTATAAGCCACTTGTTACTTTAGTTATAAAACTCCTCTCTTTAATTGCTACTACTTTCTATTTTTTTAACTTTATTAATATTTGGCTTCAGGGAGCTGATGGTGTCCTTGTTCCTAGAGGATTTTGAGATAAAGTAGTGTAAGGGAAAATTCTTGTAGCTTAACGTACCTTAGCAACTGGAACGGTGGAAAGGCCAAAGTAAATTTTGGAAGTTCATTAATTATTCCCCGAGTTTTTCTTTTATTTTATATTTGAGATACTTTTAAAACTCTTATAATATTATATGGGTTTATTACTCTACACTTGCAATATTGTATGATTTTTGATATGTGGTTAATGGATTGAATCACTTGTGTTATATTGTATTATGTACTTTAAATTTCTTATATAGCTCTTGCTGATGAATTGAATTATTAGCTAATAGAAATTTCATTTGCAAGTTAATTGCTTGATTGAACAAGATTTCTTTTTATAACCAATAAATTTTAATTCTAACAAAGCCAATGTGCAATTTAGTGAGGAAATAACGATTAGTGAAGATGATATTCTTCTCTAATTAAACAAATTTGCAAGGAAATAGTGAGAAATCAATGTCTCTGATTTTAGCTGGGAAAATAAGGCCTCACTAATTTGTCACTGTTGATGAAATATTAGAGCCAATTAGTGGAGATATTGCTAGGACACAATTCCTCACTAAATTTAGCGACAATGTCAATCCTCACAAATTTCTAGCTAAAAGCATTGAATTATCAAGGACCTAAATTTCTTGCTAATATCTAATCCCTTGATTAGTTAGTAAGGAAAACACTATCCCTCACTAAATATTAGCAAGCCGTAAATTAACTACAAATTTAGCAACAAAATTAATTTATCAATCAGGAAATTCTTTTTTTTTGGATAAATTACATGGAGAAATTCTTAGGTAGACTCCCTGGTCTATTCAAGAATTTCTCCTATTACATGAGTTGCCTACTAGACAGTAATAAAATACAGAGTATGAATTAATTTTTTAGAAAATTAAGAGTGCATATGGCTAAATTAAAATAGTTAAGATAAATTGTGGAGAGAAAATTAAAATTAATTTTCTGAACTTTTTTTAATTGTGATCTTTCCCATTCCCCATGACTCGTCTATGTCTAATAATAATCATACCAGCAGTGGAGAAAAGACTTTTGAAAGCTTTTTCCAAATTTAAATGACTTGATACCTTAAATAGAAATCTGATTCTCTAACTCTCAAGACTTGAGTGGGATGATGAAGGTTGATGGAACACTTTAACTCGTTATTTAATCTCAATAATTTTGACTTAGTTAAAATTTAATCTTTTAACTTTAACTCGTTATAACTCAATACTTATAATTTTTTTCTATTTAAACTATTGGTTTGTATTAAATTTTTGAGAATCAAGTATATATTATGTTTGCCTTTCAATCAGAATATCTTGAGAAAATGTAATAGGATTTATCTTAATTTTATATACATTCAATTCATTCTTTAATTAATCAATGTGAGACTTTTTATGTTAATATATTCTACTCCTCCTACTATTTTTTTCCCTCTTTATCTTTCCTTCATTCATTTCTTCTTCTTCTCTTTGTTTGGATTTGTATTTTTTTTGAGTGTCAGAGATGTGAAGATCACCACAATCTTCATTTTTTTAATCATTTTTGACTTCGCCTTTGATATCATATTAAATTTTTGAAAATTAGGTATATATTATGCAATTGTCTTCTATTAAAATACCTTGAATTAATTTTACAGGGCTTACCTTAATCTTATATTCTTTTAATTCATTCTTTAATTAATCAAAGTAGGACTTTTTAATATATTCTAATAGTCCATACATTTTAGAAAATAAATTTATAAAGAATAAAGTATCACTAAAGCTTAAGGACTAATATTTTAATATTTAAATCCTTAAGTTGTAATTGTTAAACTTTTGTGAAGTTTTTCTTTTTAAGAAAGAGATAAAAAATTTTATATTTTATAAAAAAAATAAATTGAGCAAAAGATACTAAAAAAAAAACTTAACCTAAATTCACCAATTCCAACTTTAGAAGATTTAAATTAAATATTTTAAATGATTAAAAATATAAGAACTAAATTACAATATGTTAAAGTCTAGGGACCAAGTTGTAGTATTCTATTAAAATTTAAGAATCAAGTTATAATTAAGTCAAAAATATAGAACCAAGTGATTAATTTTTCATTATATCAATATATATCAGTAATTATTGATTATTAAAAATCAATCATGTGAGTAATTACAATAATTAAATTAAATTCTATAATGGCCAATCCGTCTATATAAAGGAAGCACTTGGTTCAATGATTCGTTGTCTCCCTTCTCTCTCTCTCTCTCTCTCTCTCTCTTGATTCGCCGTTTCTATGATGGAGTTTCTTCGTTTTGTTGTTTTGACTCTGTTATGTGTAAGCTTCGATCTTTTCTTCTCTGTTTCCATATTTTCATCTAAACTTTAAATTTTCTACTGATATAGCGTATTCACAAAACTCTCTAATATATAACATCGCATAAAGTTAAACAACGACTTCGATATGTGCATGATTTAATTTGCTTCTGATATTGTATGTTCAGCTTGCTCTTGCTGGGGGTGATGCAACGACGTGGTCTCGTTCTGGTCAGTATTTAACATTATCAAATCTTTATTCAGATTCCCCTATTTGGGAATGATACACCTTCATAAGTCCTTTGCTTCTTAGCAGTTTTGTCTACAAGTATATATGAACTGTGAAATATTCATGTGCAAATAATTACATGAAAAATATAATTAAATAAACCTCTGGAATTATTTCGGTACCTTAGGATGGGAAAGGAGCACCATGAATGCAGACTTAGAGAAGCCAGCTTTGACTCAACCTTTCGGTATCTTTGGACGGGAAAGGAACAACATGAATGCAGACTTAGAGAAGCCAGCTTCAACTCAACCTTCTGGTGTTTTTGGATGGAAAAGAATCAATATGGATTCAAACTTAGAGAATTTAAGCTTGGAATCAATATGCAATACTAAGGAAAGGTTTGTAGGAGAAGATGACAAGCTTTGTGCAGAGTCCATCGAATCATTACTCGATTTTGTCATTTCAAAGCTGGGGAAGGATATCGTAGCATTGACAAGCTCCTTCATTCCTCATCAAACTCAGTACACAATATTGGAGGGTGTACAGAAGGTTTCAAATAAAGGGGTGATGTGTCATAAGTTGAATTTCGAGAATCCTGTGTTTTACTGTCATCAAGTGAATGCAACAATCACTTACATAGTTCCCATGGAAGCTGCAGATGGCACGAGAACAAGCATAGTGGCTCTTTGCCACCGTGATACAAGAGGCTTGGATCCTTATAAGTTGTTCCATCAACTCAAGGTCATGCCGGGAACTGTGCCTGTTTGCCATTTTCTGGGTTCTGGAGCTATTTCTTGGGTTCCAAAGAACATTGAGCTTAAGGCTGCTTACTAAATCGAGCTAGACTATTCTCTTTGGATTATGACTTATAAATAAAAGCATCACTATGTATAGCCCTATGGGTTCTAGTGTTGTGCGCCAGATAAAACTATGTATAATGTTTGCATGTTATAAAATATTATATGCGTGCGTATTGTGTAATAAAAGCATCAGTTCTATAACCTTGTTTTCCATTTCTCACTTTTCTGACAAATCAATAATAAAAAGAAAAACTTGTTCTCGACTTTCAAGTCGGATACATTAATACTTGAAGACTAAGGCGACATTACATGATTAATTAGAACCAAGAGCATAGACTAAGATATAAGTAGGGTCTTCTTTTGAGATCCCAAGAGCGCTATACCTACAGCACCAGGAAACATAGGGGCTAGGAGTCTCTAATGTGCCCTTCTCTAATGTCTCTTGTAATGCCTCAACTTTTCAATTTTATTTTTTATTTTTCTTTAGCTCATTGGCTTCTACATAAAATAAGAGACATTTGAATATCTTGATGTCCCAAAATGGTGAAGATTTATATTTTTTATGATTTTTCAAAAATAAAAGGGTGTATTTGTGATATTTTTCTTTAAAAAATCATCCATCTTCATCAAAATATCCAAATGTCTCTTATTTTATATAGAAGCCAATGATCCAAAGAAAAATAAAAAATAAAATTGAAAAGTTGGGGCATTAAAGAAGGGCACATTAGAAACCCTAGCCCGAAGCATAGTAGCTAACGATATTATCAAGTGAAGGAATAACCAATCATTAATAATTATAAAAATTACATGTGGTTAGTTAATTGAATTTCGTATATTAGGAATTAAATAGATAATCATGATCAGGTCAGGTACATTAATGGGATGCTTGTCATCTGATCTGAGTTTAATTCAGCAAATTACAAAATCGAAGCTATATATAGGAAGTGATTGGAAATTAGTCAGGAAAGAAAAAGAACAATGATGATCGTGGAACAATTGAGAGAAGAATTTGGAATGGTATATTCAATTTGAATCTAACCCATCAAAATTTCTTTCTCTGCTTTTTTATAAAGATAACAAAAGAATACAGAATAATTAGCGTGTTCTTTGAAAGCATGCTGTAAGATAATAATCCAATCTCTTGTTCTTTGTCAAGAGGATCAAGGTTCGAATTCTAGATTGGAAAGGAAATATATATTAGTTTTCTGCTATTTAATGATTTCACAGCAATTTTTAAATGTTGCCCAACTGTTGCCCATTTCTTACCAACAATTAAACCTGTTACTTATTGTCTTACTATAAGCAACAATTTTTTTATCCATGACTGAGAATATGAAAAAATTTGTTATTTTAAACTACAGGTAACGGTGACAAATTCTATATCTAAAAATCATGTATGCATGTATGTGTAAATATATATAGACGACAGTTTTGCTCTTTGTTGCAAAGATTTTTTGCTGTTGTAATAGGAGAAAAAAAAAAGGGTTGTAGTAATATATAGACGTCACTAAAGACTTATCGCAACCTTGATTTCAACACAGCCTTATTAAGCCTTAGCTTCCAAAATACTTACAAGTTCAATAACAGTGTTGGGAAAGTAATATTGTTAACATCAATTGATGTTCAAGCGAAGGCCTCACATCTGATTAGATATAGTTTTTCTTTAGCTTTTGCTTATTTGGAAAGGTGAAATCAATTAGATGGGATTTTTTTGGGGTTGTAGTGTATTTTTACCCCTGAAAAGTATTCTCAAATGAACAATTGATGATGAAAACTCTAAAGAAAATTATAAACCAATGTGGCACATAATTTTTTTGACTTAATTAGCGCAATTTTACCTATTTTTTAATAGTCTACATTGAGTCAAACAAGATTTCTCTACTTGTATTAATGATTGACCTAACAATGACACCTTACGTTTATGATTTGAAAAAGTTAATGATATGTTTGGATATATATATAAATTTAAATTTGGATCAAATGCTTTGTTTGAGTATTTAAAAATTTATTGATTTAGATATACCTCCAATGTGTATGAATTTGAAAAACACGAATTTTAAATGTGAAATTTGGATAAGTGAATCGGTGAACCAATATTCCTAAAAAGTTTGTCAAGAGTTTTGGATGAGTCGACCTGATTGAATTTTATTTTATTTTATCTTATTTCTCTTTATTGGAGCTTGAACCAATATCATTTTGAGTTTGGTAAAAAAAAGGTATTTCATCAGATTTGTACTATAGTTGTTCTATTTTTGTTAGATTATTTGATGCATGAATGTTCCATTTACTTGTATTAGATTAATGTCTTTTTTATTTAAATATTATTCTTTTCAGGGTTATATATTTATATATATGAATATTTTTATATATTTTAATTAAATTATTAGTCTAATCTTGATTAGGTTGATCTTGAATCAACTACAGTTAAACCACAGACACTTGAATATAATCACTATTTTGGTTCGATTTCAGTACCTTCATCTCTGGTGAATTGTTTTGTCCTTATTAAAAGCTAAGTTATTCAATTTTCGCTCATATATTCCACGAGGCACACGAGACACACTGAAGATGGAGCCGTGTAAATGTGGCTTTAGTGTGCATGTGAAATTATAGTGGAAATTATGAGAAGAAGAAGCAAGCCTAAGGGTCTGTTTGGCGAGCTATAATAGATTGTAGACGTTACGTGCATAGGTAAGGTCAGATTACATGTAAAATTTATTAAGTGGGAACACCCCTAAGATTTTGTTTTATTAACAAATTAAATTGACTATATATTTTGAGTTTTAAATTACAATTTAATATTCTTAAAATTTTGTCCAGCTTAATCTTATTGTTATTTGAATTTAATTTTATAAATTATACCGTCATCATGATTAAAAATAAAATAGTACAGACAAAAGGTTAATTTGTCCAACTTTTGAACTGTGTTTCTTTTCCATTAATCTCCATGATTCCTCCAATAAATTTGTACTATCATATTAGAAAGACTTGAAAACTTTTGCCAAATTTAATTGATTTGATACCTTAATTAGAAATGCCATTCCCAAGACTTATGGTCCAAGATGCGGAGGAAGAAATTTTTGCATAGAACTAATGCACCATATCTTTTGTAGATATCCAATAGAGTTTTACCATTTCAATTAAATAAAATTTCATGTGTCATTATGTTTAGTGATTTTTATTTTGAAATAAAATGTGTTTTTAATTTATTGTATTCTCTCTCTCTCTCTATTATATCCAATAGCACAATTAATTTATATTTATAGTCACATAACATAACATGTTTTTATTAAATTGTTTACAAATGATGTGGTGCATCAACTTTATGTTAGAATTTATCAGAAGATGAGGGCCTGTGCGAAGTGTAATACTCCTTTGAGAGTGACGTACATATCAATGTTATTATGAGTAACGGAAAGAGAGAATAAATAGGCAAGAATTGCAAAATAAAAATAAAAATCATATCTTTACTCAAAATTAAGTCCTTGTGACTTCAACCAAGGCCTATCCTATCCCATTTTGGGACTCAAATAAAATTTCATATAGGTCACAAACGAAACCTAACTTTTATGACTTGTTAAATAAAGGAGAGCAATTGTTCAAAATTAGGAGGAGAGAATAAATAATAGGCAAAAATAATAGAATTACATCATATCTTAATTCAAAACCAAAACTTTAAGGTGTGAATTTATGAGTCCTTCTATTTATTTATTTTTTTATTAAGCATGTATGATACGGTTCAAGATATGGTTTAATATTAAATGTAGGCATTTCTTCCAACGGAATTTAAATATTGGTGCACCATATTTTCAAGGACTAGCCTTTTTTGCTAGACTTAATCCCCATTGGTGAGTTATGTTTCATTATACGTTAATTATTAAACCTAATTTTATTTAATAATTTTTTATATTAATTTAAATTCACTCACACTTGAACAATCTAACACACACATATATATATGGATACGTGTACATAACTTACTGACTATAATAATAATAATCATCATCATCATCAATCATGTAATGACTAATTATAGTGATTCTACAATGGCCAGTCCGTCTATATAAAGGACGCACCTTAGTTCAATGTTTCAGTGCCTCACTTCACCTACTCTTTCATCACTTCACAATCCGTCATGGACTTTCTTCGTTTTGCAGTTTTAGCTTTGTTATGTGTAAGATTCTTTTCTTCCTTGTTTCCATTTTCTCATCCCAATCTTTTTCCTACAATTTTAATGTGCTTGATCAGGAGGCATATGTTAACAATTAATGCTTCGACTGATCACATTATTAGTTTTTTAAGTTATTATATCACAATCTGTTCGGACACATTTTCAGCTCGCTGTTGCTCGGAGTGATGCGACGTCGTCTCGCTCAGCTGAAGAATATTGGCATTCAATTTGGCCGGACGCTCCCATGCCAAAGAATCTAGAGTATCTTCTGGGATCTGGTCAGTATTTATGTAACTCGCGAATATTCAAAATCTTTATTATAATTCCCTATTTTTAATGGATTCAACTTAGTTCTCTGCAGTATTAGAGAGAGGAAATTAAAGAATGAAGAAGAAAGAGTCCCCCCCACCTTAAATAGCACACTTGGAAATTTTCTTCCTAGCAGTTAATAATATGAAAAAAAATAATTAAATAGACTTATGGAATTATTTTGTTTTTTCAATAAAAAGAATGAAGATAAAAATTTATCATGTACTTCTTTTACGCATTAAAAGGGTTTGATCCCCATTGAGTCTTTATTTACACTAATCCACTCTACTCTTGAAACATGATAAAAATATTCTACACTACAAATCTTGTTTGTGTTTAGACGGCACATCTTTGAATATGGTACATAATGTTATAATTATAAGTACGTCAATGTCAAAACACGATGTCGATGATTCAATATCTTTGATTATTATTTTCTCACACCATTTATAATGTGTCAAAGGTGTGAACGATGAAGAAATTAAAGAGACTCAATATCCCTATACCAGCTTCTTCGAAGACGACCTTCATGCAGGTAAACAAATGAACATGATATTCAATAACCCTTATGCTCCAGGGGAACAAGAAAGTAATACTAAGAAAAAATATCAAGAGAGCTCAACTTCTACCCAACCTTGGGGCATTGGTATATGGGAAAAAAATAGTTTGGGTGAAAACATAGAGATGTCAACATCTCCTCAACCTTGGGGTATCGGAATATGGAAAAAAAACAATATGGATGAAAAACCCAAAATGCCCACTTCTCCTCAACCTTGGGGTATTGGTGTATGGAAAAAAAATAATCTAGTTGAAAACCCAGATATGTCAACCTCTCCTCAACCTTGGGGCATTGGTATATGGAAAAGAAACACTTTAGAAGAAAACCCAATGATGCCAACCTCTCCTCAACCTTGGGGTATCGGTGTATGGAAAAGAAACAATCTGGATGAAAACCTAGATATGTCAACCTCTCCTCAATCTTGGGGTGTTGGTATATGGAAAAGAGACACTTTGGAAGAAAACCCAAGGATGGCAACCTCTCGTCAACCTTGGGGTATCGGTGCATGGAAAAGAAACAATCTGGACACAAATCCAAACATGCAAACCTCTCTTCAGCCTTGGGGTATTGATGTATGGAAAAGAAACAATTTGGATGAAAACCCAGATATGTCCACCTCTCCTCAGCCTTGGGGCATTGGTATATGGAAAAGAGACACTTTAGAAGAAAAACCAAGCATGCCAACCTCTCCTCAACCTTGGGGTATCAGTGTATGGAAAAGAAACAATCTAGATGTAAATCAAGAAAAGTCAACCTCTTCTCAACCTTGGGGTGTCAGTGGATGGAAGAGAAACAATCTGGATGCACATCAAGAAAAGTCAACCTCTCCTCAACCTTGGGGTGTTGGTATATGGAAAAGAAACAATCTGGATGCAAATCAAGAGAAGTCAACTTCTCCTCAACCTTGGGGTATTGGTGCATGGAAAAGAAATAAATTGATTGAAAACTCAGAAAAGTCAGCATCTGGTCAACCATGGGGTGTTAGTTCATTGAAAAGAAATGCAGTAGGAAATAAGCCAACTGAGAAGCTAGCATCTACTCAACCTTGAACTGTGGCTTTGGGGAGAAAAATTCAATAAGTCTTCCTCCTAATTAATCAAACTAGATAGCCGCTAGGCTAGTCTCTATGGGTTATGAGTTTTAAATAAAAGCACCACTCTATTAACACTTTGTGTTCTAATATTATTGCGTGTGCTACATGAAACTTCATTCTGTGTTATGTATTAGTTGTGCCTTGTTTCTTTGTTTCATGGAGTCTTCTGTCATAACTCTCTATTCTATATTTGTTCTTCGGCTTTCTATCACACTAAAATTAAATTAACTTTGAACAATATTAAAAACATTTTAATTTAGAGGATTGGTTAAAAGTTTATGGTAAATAAGTAGCAGATTTTCAGCAATCCAATTACCATGACGAACTTGTAGTAATGTGCCTTACGTTGACTTATCAAATAAACGAAACAAAACTATATTGAAAACAATAGTACTATATGTCTCTAACTTTGCTAAAAAACCAAATACTAATCAATAAGCAAAACACTACGATTAGACGGGACAGACCCAAAAGCCTCTATTTTTTTTTCCTTTTTTTTTTATAAATATTTATGTGACAATGAAAGATGTGAACATAAAAAAAAATGGAAATATTTCCATAGATGAAAAAACATGGAAAAAAACATGGAAATATTGCGTGGGGGTGGAACCAGGTCCCAGAATTTTTTATTTATTTATTTATTTTTTTTTTTGCCTTCGAGTAAAGTATAGGTGTTAATTAACAATTAATACATGGCCCACAAAATAAAATTTAACTCAATTCAAAAACAATTTATTTTGTTCCTAAGGTCCGAGCCCAAATACCACAACCCGACTTATAGTGAGTAGTGTTGTTTCATCTTAAAGCATGGTTTTATAGAATTTATGCTTTGACCCCAATAAATTTTTAAAAATTATATTGTGATCCCTTATCTTTCAAAATTGAGTTTTGACCCACCCAAATCTCTTCCAGAATTACCATTACCCCTGAACACCTTTTAAAATTTCACTGAAGTCTCAAATCTATTCTCTAATTCTAAAATTATTTTTTATTTTGTCCTAAAGTCATAAAGCTTGTAATTTTATGACACTTAAGATCTTATAACATTGATAATGGTATACCCCATAGGTGTGACATTATTAATGTAATTTTAATTGTTAGCTTCAAAAATATGCAAATAGTATTATTTTTTTGATGTATTAGATATTTGTTATACCCTATAAGTATGAAAATATTTAATATATTATTTTTGTGCCTATAGACTTTTATGTGAGCCAAATCTATATGGTATAAGAGCCTTCTTAATGCATGATGATAGTTGCATAACTGAAATTCACATGTTGAAATATACTATAATTATATTATGCATGCATAATTATTATTTTTTATATTTTGTTTTGTGATTCCATTTCTATTTTGAGCAATTATTTTTTGTAAAGGCTCTTTGTGGGACTCATTATGATAATTTGTAAGAGTCTTTAAGTATGTACCTTACTACTTTAAGAACTAGTTGGCTTTAAGAGAACTCAAATAAAAGGATCTCTCTTTACAGTCTAATGCTTCTGACAAAGCCTATAATAAATATTGATATAAGTCCAATCAAATCTCTTTGGCAGTGATTAAATTTACTATTAAGAAAAGGAATTAGGGATAACATTTCTAGCGAAATATATTATGCAATGCTTGATAGTACTCAATCATAATGGGACATTTGGTATTAAAGGAAATATTCTTGAACTTATATGGGGTTGACATTGGAGTATTTCTTAGTGTATAGAACTATTACAATCTAATTATGAATTCTTAACATCTTCTTACTTCACGAAAGAGAGGGGAGAGATTGAAGGATTGTGCAATATTGATAATAGCCTATAATAACTTTCAATTTGAGGAGTGAAGTGTTTCAAGTTTGGAACATTTAAAGAGTTGCTAGACTATTGTCCTTTTTTATTTGGAATTTTCATTTATATATCCACATGTTTAGAGCATTTGTGAATAAATTAGTGATATATTTCTATGATATTACAAAAGTCATTTACACTTAATGATTGTGTGCTCACCTATAATGGGCAAAATTATGGTAATGTATTATTTAAAATTATATTTCAAGATATTATATTGACAATGAATCATAGGTATGTCATTGTTAATGTAATTTGTGTTTAAAACTTTTTAGATTTATCTAAATACTATATTGGTAAAAGACATTATTGGTAAATCAAAGATTACCATTATTGATAGTTGGGCATTTATTTTGGCAAATTTTGCAAATAAGAGTTTTAATGTTTTAATGTTTCTTATACCCTATAAGTACGGTGACATTAAATACATTTTGTTATAATCCTTTTAATAAAGTCTTTAATTCATATTTGAATTGGATGCTTCATAATTTAATGTCAAAAATAATATAAGATAAATTATTTGTATTAAGCTAGAAATCATAAGTGAGATTTTTAATTGAAGAAGCTTAATCTCAAAATTTATTAAGAAATTCATTATTTACTATTGCATAGGATCAAGATAGGTGCTGATTTTGTTACTCACTATCAAGTTAATCAAATTTAAATCTTGCCTTCAAATAAATAGATTTAAGATTAATAATGGTGTATGATCCATAATTGGTGTAGATATGTAACTTTTTCTTTTAAAAAAAATAATTCACATTCCTTGATTATAATCTACACTGATTAACCAACCAATGTAAATATAATCAATATCTACATTAGTTATATAATCGGTGTAGATGTGGACAAAGTTTTTACACCATTCTTATCTACACCGATTGTAAAATTAGTATATATACTTATTTTTAATTAGTGTAGATATCCCCTCTTGTACTAGCGTAAGAAGAAAATTTATATACTTAATTAGCCTTATATATTTAATATAGTTGTTTTTAATTGAATAAAAACATGTTAATTTTTTATATATTATTTATTACATAACAAACTTTTGTTATCAATATAATTAACATTTTAAAATCTGCTTTTTTTGATTCAATTGGAGAAAAGTATACTATTTATATATATATATAAGATTAAACACTTAAATCTTTCCCTTACAATAATTTGTCAGCAAAGAACGCTCTATTAAAACAGTGGGTGTCACAGTCAATTTTTCTTTCCCTGGGTATAATGCCCAAGTAGATGATGGGCCATCAAAAAAGGTTTTGGGCCTAAAATAATATATCATGTGATACCATCGTCAATATGTTCAGAACAAGGCTCGACGTACTTGGAGGATAAATGTATTAGCATGTAGTGTTTTATATTGTTTGTATTACTCCTCTAATTCTATTTATAAAGTAAAGAGATAAAAAATTTGACCTTATTTATAAAGTATTTGTTAATTTTAAAACTCCTCTTTATGTTTTTGCCCTTATTAAATGCTTTAAATAAAAATATTATTAATAATATTTAAGAATATTTATTATGGGTAAATGTGAAAACTTGTTAAACTTTAAGATAAAATTAATGAGATTTAATTTTTTTTAATTTTAATAAAATACATTAGAAGTGGCTCATAAATAAGACTAGAAGGAGTATATGCTTTCAATTATTTTGAAGTTTTCGTATGTGGTTATTTAATGTGCTTTTTAATACTATATTCATGTAGAGCTTATCTTAGATATGCCAATGAGAATTAAATCTAACAGAAGAGCTAATCTTTTATAGCATGATGAACTAATAGTGTTTGAATTTTTATTGAAAGAAATACTTATATTTAGTACCAGGTTGAAGCTGCCAATTTTGTATCTTAAGGACTAAATGGCATTTCTATAATTGAAAGTATTAAAATTAAAATACAATATATCGTAATATTTCTTCAATGTCGACCTTCGTTATCATTGCCCTTGTTCTAAAATTAAACCAGAACAATACTTACGTAAAATACATAGTAACTTGATTCAGAAGACATGTAGCTGCTGATATAAGCTCATAATTTTTTAGAATGAGATCAATTGCCCTTACGTCGTCGTTTCCATGGAATCTAATTAATTCTAAGATCAATTATCATCTTGAATCTTGAATCCCAAGGGAGAATCTGCTACCAGGAAGGCTATATATGGGAAAACTAACATATAAGAGCTATATTAGGTAGAGCAGGGAAATTTTAGCAGCCCGGCTTTATAGAGCCAAACTTTAAAAAGTCAGTGTCTAAGAGGATCGGCTTGAAAAAGCTCAAAAATATTTTAAGGTGGTTTTTCGAAGCCCAGCCTAATATATATTCTTTTTTAAAAAAAATGTAAACATTTAATAAACACATTTATAATTAAAAAAACCAGAACACATAAGATTAAGCCTAAAAAAATAGATTGAAGTAAAATGATGACAAATCTATAATATGGCAACCTCATCCAATTTAGGTTTTAAGTATTGGTTTATCTAAATAATTTTTTAATTCAAACTTGTCCATAGGAAAAATTATCTATACTTATATAAATATCTTAATAATCTGACATTATAATTTGTAAAGGATTAAAAAAATATCACTTAAATATTAACAAATTAAAACAAGATTAAAGAATAAATTTAATTGACAAAATATTTAAAACATACGTTAAGTGCATAATTAAAAGTGGTGGTTGTTATTTTTGAAACACTAAAAGTATAAGAAGCATGATGAGTTATAACTTGAAACTCTAGAACTTAATTCGCCTCCAACTTTATTAGATAATCTCCCTATATTTTATATTCTTTTACTTGAAATTTGAAAACAAATAATCAAGCCTAAAGGGACAGGTCTATTAGCTCTAAGGGGAAAACATTTTTACTTTTAATAGGACGAGTCCTTTTAAATTTAAACTCAAAATTTATGTCTACATAAATTTAAAATGTCTGATGAACCGTGAATGAACAGTGATTTACTGAAAATACTCCCAATTTTTTTCCTTTTTTATTTGTTACCAGTGGAACATTGTCTGATAGTATTATAGATCTATAGTACCACCTGACTTTTTCTTTTTCTAAAAAGAAGTTTGTTGTGAATCTAATGTTTTTTTTTTAAAAAAATTTTAAGATGAGCACGTTACATATGAAACTTATACTTGAAAATGAAAAAAATATTTTTATCTATTTTTATCTTAATTAATGATATCTCTCTTTTATTTTTTGAAACTTATATGAATATTTTTTAGTATGAATAGTTAAATACAAGCCCTCCTTTTATTTTTAAGATTTTATTTTCATCACCTAACTATTAAGTTGACCCTTAAGTCACATATGTTGAATTAAAATATTCATATTTAAGTATAAATGTTGTCCAAAAATCATTTAAATTACCAAAAATTAATTTTTTATTATTTAAATGTGTTTATTTTGTAAATTTTTTTAAAAAAATTACATATATAAATTGGCCAAAAAAGATATTCAAAGAAACAATGTGTGGACTCAATAAAAAAATTATAAAATAAAATAATTTTTAATAATTTAGAGTAGTTAAATCAGCCTAAATAAACTTGAAAACTAAATGTGTTAAGAGTCATGTTCAACTATAAATTTTTATATGTTTAGATATTTTAAACTCTGTATGAATTGAGGCTTTAAGGTTAATAGAGGAAATATAATATTTTAATAAACTTAATTTTTAAAAAATTAAAATAGTGTGGTTTAAAAAAGTGGTATGTAGGACCTATCATTAAAAATATGAGTGGGATCTATATTTATAAATTTTAAAAATTTAAACAAGGTGTAAAAATAATAAGATTTTTATATTTTGAGAGATCATGTAAGATTGTATATTAAAAATTGATGTGAATATAAGATTTTTAGTACAACAACAAGTGTTGGATACAAAGAATTTTTTATATACTCCCTTCATTAGAAATGTAAGGTATTTTGTTAGGAGTTAGATATTAAAAATGTAAGGCACAAAAAGGTGTAATTATTATCTTTTTTTTTTAAGTGTCCCTATTAAATAAATTATTTTATATTTATCTTAGAGTGAAATACCTTATTAAATAGAGTTAAATATAAAAAATAAGATTAGTTTAAAGGCAAGTAATTATGTTATTGGGGTAAAATTTAGTTAAAAATGGTTTATATTTTTTAACTGATGGAGCATTTATTATTAACATAGGGTAACAAATTAAAATAGTTTGTGCAAACATATATAGAATAAGTTTTTGTTTATATTCTTCAAACACATAAGGAATAAGAATCTACTTTCTCTGTTAAAAATATAAGGCATTTTTGATCTTTTTAGGTGTAATTATTAATTTTATTTTTTAAAAGTGCCCCTATTGATGAGCGACTTTATGCTTATTTTAGGGTGTTTAATAAGAATAAATATAAAAAGATAGGGTTAATTTAAAAATAGGTAACTATTTTATTGGGGGTGAGATAATAGGTAACTATTTTATTGAGGGTGAGATTCAATTAAAATTACCTTATATTTTCAAACAGATGGAGTATTATTCTATTATTTATATGTAAAAGTTGATTATGATTTAAACGCCTATAAAAAATATTAATGTAATTATGTGCCTCAAATTTGAGCAATAAAAATTATAGGGCTACAAATTAATTATATAATATTAATGAATTTATCTTCCACTGAACTCCTAATTTTTTCTTAATAGTCATTGTATTACTTGCATATACGTGTTTGAAAGATTGTTTTAGTAAACTTACTTCATTCGTTAAAAACTACTCCCTCCATTCAAAAATGTAAGGTACTTTTTAAGGAGTTGGATGTTAAAAAATATAAGACATTTTTAGTTTTTTGAGATGTAATGATTGTCTTTTCTTCAAAAGTGTTCCTATTGACAATGACTTTATATTTATTGTAGGGTATTTAATAACAGTAAATATAGAAAGATATAATTAATTAAAAAGTAGATAACTATTTTATTAGGGGTAAGATTCGGTTTAAAATGCTTTATATTTTTTAATAGAGAGAGTATGAAGCATTTTTTAAGAGGTATTTCTTAGGAGTTGAATATTAAAAAATATACAATATTTTTAGTGTTTAAAGGCATAATCATTAACTTTTTTTTGAAATGCCCATAATAAATAAATTATTTTATATTTATTTTAGTTTGAAATACCCAATTGAATAACAAATATAGAAAGATTGTGTTATTTTGAAAACAAATAACTAATTTATTGAGGTTGAGATTTGATTAAAAATATTTTATATTTTTTAAAACATGGAGCTTGTATTTAATTTTTTAAAAAAATACTAAATAAATTATTTTTTTGACTAATAAATTTAAAATATAAATAATTTTTTTAAAAAATATCAAAAATAGTAACTATTAATTAATGATCAGAAAATGAAAATTTAATAGTGAAAGGCATATTTATATTTTATAACTCTTAACTGTTAATTTTAAGAGGAATTCATATAAATTTTAAAAATAAAAATATTTATAATTAAAATAAAATAAAAAATAATATATTTTATTTTAAAGAATATTAAAATAATTTTTTAATATTTATTTTTATTTTTATTCTAGAAAGCTCAAATATTCCCTCTATCGTGCATAATTTAGTTTAATTATACTCTCTCCGTCTTAAATTATAAGATATTTTAAAAAAAATTAATATTTTAAAATATAAAACACTTTGATAAAAATAAGATTTTATTAATGATACTTTTTTAATATTATCCTTATTATATATTCTCTTTCTTTAATATTCTTTTATTAATGAAGTATTAAATGAAGGACATTTTTAAAAATTTATATTTTTATATCAAAAAAATAAAATTATAAAATATATTTAATAAGAATTATTAATATATAAAATTTTATATAAAAATATTTTATAATTTAAAATGAAGGAATACTTCATAAACCATTAGCATAGCCTAGCTATTTCCGAGATTAAACAGGCTTGGTTTGTTACTTTCCCGGCTCTAATATTAAATTTTGGGAATAATACAGGTATAACAAATGCCATGTATTATAAATAGAAAATATCCTCATACGTAAGAGTTTCATACATTCTCATAAAGCTACCCACAGTATTAAATTGATTTTTGAGCACATAGTCCAAAAAGTCCAGCATCATTTCTCAATTATAATAATTAAGTTTTATCCACATTTAAAATATGATACATTTTTCTTCAAAAACTTAAGAACAATTTTTTTCGTTAGAATATTTCTCACATAAATTAGTTTCTTCAAAAATTTTAAATTAAATTGAACTATTATTATTATTATTATTATTAATGTGCCAAAATCTCGTGAAGTAAATATAAAATATAAAATAATGTACAAAATAAATAAATGAAATAAATTCAATCTCGTAATTCGATGACCCACCTACACGTGATTCTGTCTCCCGAAGCCGCCCTTATCTTTAACGTGATCCGTAGTTATGAAATATCTCCTTCTGAGAATTCATCGCTACCGTCGGATCTTTCCTTTTTGTCTTCGCCCTCCACCTTTCTCATATCACGATGTCATTTCATGCCACGTTTATATAACAGATAGCTCCTTTCTATCCGAACCTCAGCTTCGGCATTGCGAAGGTGGTGCCTTGTCCCTTTCCCCTTTATCCATTTAACTTACAGTGTCATTCTGCTTCCGGTATTTTGCAAGGAAAACAAAAATCTCACCTCATAAACTGCGAAGTGGAAGCTCTACTAGCGTCTCCCAAATCGGTAAGGGTAGCTTCATCTTCCCTCTCGGGGTTTATTTATGGATTTTCTTGAAGGGTTGTCGGATTTCTAGCTGTCATTTGTATGATTTGGACCTTTGTTTGTTAATCGTGATAGCCTTGATCTTTTGAAACTCCAATGGTGGGATCATGATTTTGTGGTGTTTGTGGCATGAGTTTTGTTTTTGTTTTTGTTTTTGTGGGGTTTGAGGTTGTGCACTACAATACCGATTCAGAGTAAGAATGGAGTAGCATCTAGCCTTGTTCATGAGATTATTAATTCTTTGATGATCTGTCGTGATCTGGTGGCTGGCCATTTTTCTTGGGGTGAAATTGGAGTTCTCAGGATCAAGAATTGAATAATAGAGCCTACAGGGAAAAAAGAAAAGACTTTTGTTGCTGTTTACATTGACTTACATTTATTCTCCAGTCATGCTCTGATATGCATCTGGTTTTGATTTGGCTGCTCGATTAGATGTATAGATGATCATTATGAGTTGATCCTATTTCTTTTACTTTATTCGATCATTTGATGAATAAGTGACTAAAGCTCCTCTACTGAAATTTCATCTTCTGTATTGAGCTGACATTTTAGACAGTGATCTTCAATAATCAGGTAAACGCTGACAAGTTGTGATGGCTTTAGTATCTGGAAGAAGTTCTGGATTGAACCCAAATGCTCCTCTCTTCATTCCCGCTGCTCTTCATCAGGTGGAGGATTTTTCACCTAAATGGTGGGATCTGGTGAAAAACTCTACATGGTTCCGTGACTACTGGCTAAGCCAGCACAAGGATGAATATGTTGCAGAAACTGCCAATGACTCCACGGTTGACGAGATTGAGAATATGCTGCCAGAGATGTTTGATCTGGGCATTGAAGATGATTTAGAAAATGAGTTTGAGCAATTTGTGCTGTTCTCTGAAGCTAAAGATTCTCCTGCTTGGACTGATCCTGATGCTGGAAAAATGCCTCTTAACGGTAAGAATTGATGATCGTGTCTGGCGATTGAAAAAGTGATTTTGATTCAGTTTTAACTGGGACTGAACTACTGTAAGTCTATATTATAGAATTATGTGACGGAGAAAACTATGAAGAAATTGGAAGGATTCAATGAGATAAAACATACATTTCCCCTTTTGTGCATGTGCTGCTGCTACATAAATATGGTAGCATTCAAGTTATTGACTAATTACCTCACTTGGATGGCTCTTGGCTCTTTCCATGATTTTGCTTCCTTCAATTGGTGGTTTTTTTACTTGAGAGTATTGTATGGAAATCTGGCTGATAAATTGTTAAATTAGTGTGTTGACTGGTTTAATAATATGTTTTGCTTAAAACCGATTTAAATGCAGTTTTGACTATTAATTATTGAACTAGTATTTTGATAGGTTCAATCATCGATCTCGTTTTCAGTACCTTACTTGAGACAAACTAATTATATTCCTATCATTCTCCGTTTTTGTTTCAGGCATGAACGTGGATACAAAAGCTCTTCTGAAGAACCTGACGACACTAAACTCACCAAGGAGTCCCAAGTCCCCAGTTGGGCCTGCAAAGCACCTTGATAAGCCACCACAGTATGTCAACTTGAAATGTGCTCCTCGAAGAATTCATCAGCCTCGTTGAAAGAAAACTTTCATGGCCATGGTCGTTGCTTGGTAGAATTGCAAGCGGCTGACAAGAGTATGAGTTGTCCTTAGAAATAACTTCTGTAAATAATGCAGTTCAGGGTCGTTGTATTCCTAGTTCCTACTTGTCAGATGTTTTGTATATTTTATTTAGTCCTTGTTCTTCAGGTAAACCTAAAGCATTGACTTTTCATGATCCTTTACTGTCACTGGATGGTTAATCTTGAATATCAGAGCGAGCTTTTCAAGCCCTGAGACTTGGAAATAGTTTGCTAGTTGTTTGTGCTTTTAAATCGAGTACATGGTCAAGCTATAGGAGACCTAAGCATTGTTTGGTTGATCCTCAAATGAAGCAATTAGTGGCAATTTGTCCCTGGAAGTGCATTGAATTTGTGTGCAGCAACTGCAACAACTTCAAAGCATTCTGAGAATTTGGAGATGATGTATCTTTAGTGGGTAAATAATATGTCTAGTGTTGAAAGTCGAAGCCAACCATTTCCTGAACATGTTGAAATTAGATTAGCACTTCTGAAGATTTAGATTCAATGAATGGTTTAAATATATTCATTTGATGAACATCTCAATATTTTAATTAGTTATTAAATTTTATCAATTCTTATTAGTAAATTATTAACATAAATAATTCATATAATTAGAACACTTTTCATGTGCATTGTTTCTTTTAAAAATTTGAGTTTTGATATTTTCTGAATATGGTAAGGTTTTGGCTGTAGTTTGATTAATTTAATAATTTAGTTTCTCTTCTTTTTCTTCCCTCAAGTGCAATATGCCAGACATAGCATTATGGGATTGCGTCAAATTTTCTCAAATTTCATCAATCTCGTATGGACTATATTAATCAACATGAGATCAGCACATCATTGACTCATTGTTCATTGTATTGCTTATGATTATTGCAACATCATCAATATATATCTATAAAATTAAAATTAAAATTAAAGTATCTATTAAAAGTTGTGAAAAAGTTATATACTATGTATATAAATCATAAATAGTTGATTTCAATCGTACAGAAGAGTCCATTTGCTACTGAAAAGTCGTGGCTCAGAAGGTGATTGATATTCACCAGCTTTTGCATGTGCAAGTAATTGGAAGGTCACTTGTTTCAGCTTGATGCACCAAAAAGGACATTTAAAAATTCCTACAAGGTATTCATATTTCAAAGTTTAAAAAATTAACTTTTTTTGTGAAAGAACGAAATGGGAATTTAATTTCTTAAAATTATTATTCATATTTTTAAAAGCTGTTACTCATTCTTTTAACATTTATAAATTTAAAATGTTCTTGTATAATTAATAAGAAAATCACGTAAGTTCAAGGAGAATCAATGAACAATGATAATTATATGGAAGCTTTAACTTTTTTTTTTTTTAGTATAAGGCCACGGTAAAATCGTATAAAAAACTAAAATTAAGTAATGTCGGAAGTCATAAGACTTATACAATTACTAGGTGGACTGTAAAATAAACAAATATCAAAAGTAGGGGTAGAAGCCCTGTGAGCCATAAGGTCAGCACATTTGTTAGCTTCTTTATAGGAGTGATCAAAGGTTATCTCTCAATTATGCATGGTCAGATTTCTGTTGTTACTAATAATGGCAGAGAGAGAATGATTATGAGGAGAATTCCAGTCAATAAAAGATAAGGCCTCTATAGAATCAGAGTAGATATTTACTTTAAAAATCTTAGCATTCTAATAAAGGTTGAGACCTTTCAAGATTTCTATTAATTCCACAAAGTGCTAGGTTGGTAGCCAAGATTTTTAAAAAATCCTTTAACCCAATTGCTCATATCATTCCTAATAAGACCACCACAAGGCACAATTCCATTAAGATTAACAGAACCATCAACATGTAATCTAACCCAACCCAAATTTAGTGGAATCCAATTGACTGTAGTGTGGGTGTCATAATTCCTTAGAAGATTCATTTTGGATTGAAGCTTCATGTCATTGATAATTTGTTGTGTGCATGTAAAAGCAATATCACCGTCCAAAGTGTTATCCTCAAAGTAGACTTTCTTGCATCTGGCTTTCTATATGTTCCAACAGGCTTGTATAAAGAGTTTCTATTAAGGCAATCTTGTCGTAGACGTGCTACCAGCCTCATTTTTTGTGTTCCAAAGAATCCAATCCTGCACGAAAATAAAAAAGAAAGTATTAAACTTATTTGGATTGACCAACTTTTTCCAAACCTCTTTTGCTGCCCTTCAATCTTGTAGAATATGAATAATAAAGTTATGAGAATTACAACCAAACGGGCAAGTACATTGCTAAAGGTTATTCCCATTGTGGAAATGTACTTGATTTGGAGATGGTTCGGGAAGCTTTAGTTTTAAGGTAATTAAACATGGTTGGCCTATATTTTATCGTTACTTACATTGTTGAATTTTTTTTATATATTGGAATCAGGCCACGTATTGATGGGTTGATTAATTCCTATTTTCCCTTAATTAATTTAATTCTGCCCAATACTCCCTAATTTATTTTAATATGTATATTTTGTTTTTTGAAATTCAATAAATTATGGGATAGTAAAGTGAAAATGAGAGATACGTGAGAAACCAATTTTGGTCAAGCCAAACACACCAAATGCACAGCGCAATATCTGGATAACACATTAGATATTTTGACATATTGTCAATAAAAGGACAAAAATTTTGTATCCTTTCATATGGTTATGCCACATGATCTAAATAATTAATGCAATATTGCAATTACTTGTAATTATTGCGCGAGGATTTTCCCCTCCTACATTATTATGATAGATTTTGTAAGGTAGATTTTTACATAAAGTAGACTTACTTTTGTTTGCTACCACAAATGAAGGTATTGCGGTAATCTATGTACTTTGTTTCATAATACAAATTAATTTTGGGCAGTCATATTAGGTATAACTGATTTGTAATGAGTCTAGTTGGGTCAAATGACTAAATGAGTCTAAAACAATGTTTTTAGAATCAGATTAGACATTAAACTGAAATAGCAGTCCACACTTTATATAATTCAATCAAGTTGAATCAATGGTCAAATCGGTAATGTATTAATTAAATTTAAAAAATTATATATGTATATAATAATTTAAATATAAGAAATAAATATGAAATTATTACTTAACCTAAAAATAAAACCAAATATTTTAAATTTATCATAATTTAACAAGCCACATAATACAATATAATATCAAATAATTAAAATAATTGGTCATTTTCTTAAAAAAAATTTCTTGAACAATCTGGTTTTTGAAAACTAGATCTGGTTTCCAACTTAATTTCAATTTTTCAATCTGACCATTAGTCTAAAACAATCCAACCTGGCCCAACTTCCAAAATGATTTTTGCATGTTGACCAAGCTGAAATTCAAACTGATCAACAGTTAGACCATTCAATCTAGTTTTAATCATTCATCTAAAGTTCTTTTTTGATTGCGTATAGATGTTATTTTGTTGGAGACAATCTTGATCAATGTATAATTAAGTGTTAAATGTATTATACCTTGGTTCACCATGTTATAAGAATGGAAAATTTTTAGGTAACTTGGGTATGTTGTCATTTGTAGTCTATCCAATAAAAATATGATATCCATATGGCAGTAAATATAAATTGATTCTGATATTAATGATAATAGAGATTAAAAAATGTAACACACCAAATTTTTTTTAAATAATTTTAAAATAATTTAACTCAACCATAGTTGGGTTACAGCCACCCAACACATTTTTATATCAATAATTTCAATATAAAATATTTTATAATTGGTTTCAACTCACACACTATAACATTTCGGATAAATTGTTACCTCCCACATGCCATTAGGCTAAATCACATTTGTCCATCCTTATACTCTCAACAAGTAAACTAAATTACATTTGTCTATCCTTATACTCCCAACAAGTAAAATAAGCAATTTATTCAATTTTCAACACAAGCCAGTTATTTGGCCTTATAATCATGCCATTTTAACCAATCCAAAGTAAACCAAATATTAAAATTACAGTCATCCAAATTGTACCAAAAATAAAAATAGTTTGAAAGGCATGATTACATTTATATATTCATATAATTGACAATAAACAAAAAAGCCTTAATATTGGCAATATAACACATTATAAATCATAAATCAAATACCCAAAAGAGACAGTGAATCTATGCCACTAAGCCTCTGGGACTCCTCCACGTGCCACTCGTGGCTCTTCTCTTGAAAATTGTTAACCACATAATGAGACTCAGAAGTCCCAATAACCAAAGCCAATTTATGATAGTGTATACAAACAGTTAAGTGTGTGCTTACTAAGTGAGAATTAAAAATAATATAATTTCAACAAATATAAGAAATATTACAATACACACAAACAACCATCCTTATATCCCTCCATTAACCTCGAGCCGTAGCCCTCACTTGGTGCTAAATTACCTGGCCAAAGGTAGATTAGCCCGAGCCCTTACAAGCCACCTATTGAGCTCCAATAGGGGCGTACCATGTGGCACATAAATACAACAACAATAGCAAGTCTCCCAACACCTCCCACAATAATCAAACAAATTCATAATAATATTGCACAATATACAATATTAAAAAAATTCATAATTTTCTCAATAATCACCCAATTAACATGAAGTAACACTAATATAAATTAAAAGCATAGTTACCTTGTGGCTTTTTCAATAAATTATTCCTTAAAATTTCTCTCTCACCACAATCTTCACCAGTAATACAATCTACAAATAACATATTATTTATAAATATTAGTTTCAATTTTTGAAACTAATAAAATAATTCTAATAATAGAATTAAAAATATAACATAATTTCTAATCTCAATCTTAATACAAATCTAGAGTTAATACTATTAAGTAAAATTTTTAACTCCTCTTTTAATTATCAATAAACATTAATAATCTAAAAATCAACTTCTAAACTAATTTCTATTATCAAAATTTTCTTTTTATTTCATAAATTCGCACCTAAAATACTCAAAAATTAAAAATTGAGTCTCTAGCTTAGAATCATAATCCTATAGCCATAATAATTCATTTCTCATTCTAAATAATCATCTAAACCTCAATAAATCAACATATATTTTCAGATCTAGTCTAGAATTTGATCCATAAGCCACAAATTCAAAGATCATCAACAAATTTATACTCTAGAACATTTATTATACTACTGACAACCTCAAAAACCATATTTATTCAACATAAATTCATCCCTCTTTGAAATCTTAAATTTTCTACCACTACAAACTCAGAAACCAAGGAAGAAGGATGACTAAGAAAAAATTTTAGAACACTTACTTAATCTTGAAAAGCTTAAAATCACACCCTAAATATCCTATTAAAAACTCTTACCTTAAAAATTAGATATTTCGCACCGGTGACTCGCGTTCTCTCTGCCTCAGCGCGCACGAAGGAATGAATGAAGAAACGAAGGAATAGGTGAGTTTTTATAAAAATTTAGTGAGTCCCACATCTTTTTTTATTATTTCTTCTTTTCTCTCTCCCTTTTTTTTTATATTATTATTATATACAATGATTGCACGGACGCCGAAAGAGGAAGCCAAACTTTCTTCTTCTTCTTTGTTTTCTTTTTTTTTAATACCTTTTTCTTTTTTTTTTAGTATAATAATAATAATTTAATAATATTTATTTTTTTCTTTTTTTTATTTTTTATTTTTATTTTTAATTTATAATTATATCCTAAGTTAGATTTAATAATCATCTCCTACTAATTTGCTTACCTCTAAATATTTTTTTAAAATTTTTATTAACCCAAATTAACTATTAAAATTTAAATTGGGATGTTACAAAAAAGATAAGAAATTAAATATGGATTCTATTATAAAAATAAAATTAATTAAAATAATATTACATAAGATTTTATTTAAAAGATTTAAAATATTTTAATTGGATAAACTATAAATGACATGGCATACTTAATCTACCTAAAATTTCTTTATAATAAACTAACTCATTCCACTAAAACAACTCCATCGTAGAGTTCTTTTAGCAACAAATTTCTCTTGATTTCTCCTTTAAAAAAATTAATTTTTTACTCCTTCAATTTTTAATTTATTTATAATTCAATCCATCAACTATAACTTGTCGCAACTCATTTTTTTAACTTTTGACTCACATATGACTTAATCTTTCAATTTTTGTTAGTTCTCTTTTTTATGTTAGCCTAAATTCCAAATCAAAGAGTAAAAAAAGGATATTTTAATACAAGATGTGAGCATTTTTTTATTTCACTTATTTGATAAAGATAATCTTTTAAAAGAATTTGAAAAATAAAGACTGAATTATAAATGAATCAAAAGTTACAACAGGTTATGATTGATAAATTAAGTTACAAATAAATTAAAAATTAAATAATTAAATAATTAATTTTCTTAATCTCTTTAACTTTGGGCATGCATGACAATAATATATTAATGTGGTGATAATTCTTTACCTCTAACTTTTCCCGTCCCATTTCTTGGGAAACACTACACACAGTCGTTACACACACACGTATGTGTATAGTAGTATTCCATGTTATATATACATTACAAGCAAAGAATAGAATCCGTTGTGGCCGACCATTTTGGGCCTATACTTTATATTAATTAATGTTTGCCAAAACATGAAGGTGTCAAAGTGTCGACACAAGGGACTGTGGTCCTGTTTATGAAACATTAAAATACTATACAACTTTGTTCACGATATTAACTTTATTTTCTTCACAAGAAAACATTAGTCAAGTTTGTTGTGTTGATGTGATTGATTATGTGATCTATTCAGAGTATAATCTTCTTCTCTTCACCAAACCATGTACAATATAATATAATCCATTTTCAAGAGCTAATCTTAATCTTGATTAATTCAAATCAAGTTAGGTCAATTTATAAAGTGTAAAACTTTCAAAAACAATAAAAAACATCATCATTGATTCTTATAATTTTATTAAATTTTACTTTTAGCCTTTGTAATTTTTATCTAACGTTTTTAACCCCTATAAAGACCAAAAACATTAAAATTATGGGGATTTGAGAAACAAATGTCACCTAACTTTATTAAAACTATAAAAGTTGAAAATATTAAAAAAAACTACAAAGATTAAAAAATAATTCGATGACAGTATAGAACTAATAATTGAATACTAATTAATTAATTCAAATTGAGTCGACCATTACAAATAAGATTTGAAACTTGATCAAAAGACATTAATTTTTCCACTAACACGGCTTGAGTGGCTTAAAACCCTGGAAAAAGGCATTTAACCACATAAATAATATATCCTTGGTTGGTTAAAAAAGAAAAATAATATATCCTTGTCAAATCATATGAGCTGTACATTATATGGCAAATTAATTAATGAATGCTTAAGCAGACCAACCATTAATTTGAGGGTCATATTTAAAATTCTTTGTTGAAGCACACAAAATAACTTGTCAACAATAGGAGCTATACATTTTTCGGCCATTAATCCATAGAGTCTACTAACAAAATTTTTATATTAATTAGGGTTAAGGTTAGTGATGGTTATTTTTTTTAAAATATTATGACTCTTAATATTGTTTGACGAATATTGAATTTGTAAGTAACTTTTATAATTTTCAACTAATTCGGTAAGGTCAGTCATGCTGAAATATATATACAAATTAATCCAGTTATAATCTTAGGAGATAAACTTATATATATGACTTGGCTTGTCGATATAAAATTCGCATTTTTATTTTGTTGATATGTTCAAGTGCATTTGAAACACTTTAATTTGCCTTTTAAGACATAGAAAAAGTATATCCCCAGAAGAATAAAACGCTAAAGGTGAACAGAATCCTTCGACTTAGACTTTATTATTAATCATGGAAATTACTAAATCTCATGCTCATAATTTTTTTATATTACTGAAAATATTATCAGACTCTAGTTAGTACAAGACTACAAGGGGAATGACAATTGGAGACCAAATGATAAATTTAATTTTATTTAGAAGTCAAAGTATTTATTAAAATTTAAGTAAAGAACCAAAGGATATTAATTAATTTTACATCGATATTCTAAAATTTAACATTAATATTTTTGAATTTGACAATAACACAACTTTGGAATATTATTGTCAAATTTTTTTAACATTAGTATCAAATTTAAAAATACCAATGTCAAATAATTGAATTGAAGTACCCTTGGTTTTATTGAAAGTTCAAAATCTTTTAATTCCAAATCAAAATCAAATTAATATGTAGACTCTTTCAAAATAACTTTCTGAGAGGTTTATCACTTACTGAAAAAGATTGTAATACTTAGCCTTTTATAATATTAATAATAAGAATTTATTATAAAATAAATATATAAAATATTTATGTGTTTTAATTTAATTGAAAGCGAATACTTTTAAGTATACAATGTTCACTTTCTTAATTCTATTATTATTTTCCCTTTATATCTAATTAATTTGTCTCGTTTTGTACTAAAGATAGAAGCAGAAGAAGCTAATTAGGTCTCCTCCCACTATGGTATATCGTACAGTCCTTGGATTATAGAACGGTGTTGATATTGGGTCTCTGAACACGTGGCCAACTATAATTGGTGGAACATTAAGAAGCGAATATGAAATGGCTACAGCTAAGACATCCAACGATACAAAAAGTGATTGGTTAATAATCCTTGTTTCCTTTCTACTTTACATTGGTAATCAATCACTCATGTCAGAGACAAATCCCTTTTGTCAAGGTAGCCGTTGTACCCTCTCCTTCATAATAATAATAATAATAATAATAATATAATAATCCAATTCAACTCAACACATACGCACCATTGTATTTTTCTTCATTACCAAGCAAATCCTTCTCTCTCTTCGCCCCTCCGCTCCGCTCCTCTCTGCTTTAAATTCCTTCTTCCCTTCTCATCTTCGCTTTTCAATCTTCTTCAATAATGGTTTCCTCTGTTTCAAAATCCAGTCTTTCTACCCCATTACTCTCTCTTACTCTTTCAGCTTCTTCAAGCAGTTCTAGTGGCAGCATTAGTGACGCCGATGATGTCAGCAGCGGTAGCCTTCTTTCGTCGGATCGATTCGATGCTGTTGACGTTAAAAAGTTTCGATTTTCTTCCATACCTGTTTCTGGGTTTTCCTTGCATCGATCCTTGGCTGTTCTGTCCGGTCACATCGGCTCTGTTTCTTGCTTGGCCTTGTGTGGCGAGTTCATACTCAGTGCTTCTCAAGGCAAGGACATCATCGTATGGCAACAGCCTGATTTGAGAGTTTTCACGAAGTTCGGACAGGGAGACGGATCCGTCAAAGCCCTTGTGTCTGTCGGGGACAAGGTTTTCACAGCTCATCAGGATAGCAGAATCAGAGTCTGGAAGGTTTCTAGGAGCTCCGAGAATGTGTTCAGGCTGGTGGATTCATTGCCCACAACGAAAGACTATTTGGGGAAATTCATGAAGCAGAGCAACTACGTCCAAACTCGAAGGCACCACAAGAAACTCTGGATCGAACATGCTGATAGCATCTCATGCTTGACAGTTTGTGACGGCTTAATCTACTCTGGCTCGTGGGACAAGACCCTGAAAGTTTGGAGGCTCTCAGATTTGAAGTGCTTAGAATCCATTAAAGCTCACGACGATGCCATCAATGGCCTGGTTTCTTCAAATGGGGTTGTGTATTCTGCTTCAGCAGATGGAAAGATCAAAGCTTGGACACAAGGGAAGGAGAAGAAAACACATTCTTTGAAGGGGATTCTAGAAGGTCACAAGGATGTTCATTCAATTCTGTGCTTGTTTCTGATGATGGAAAGTGGGTTTATGGAGGAGGATCAGATGGGTATATAATGGGATGGGAAAATAATAAATAATAATAACAATAATGGGATTTTGGTTTCTGAAACAAAGCACATGAAATGGCTGTGTTGTGTATGTGTTTGATGGGAGAGTTTCTATTCAGTGGGATCAGCAGATAAGAGTAATTGTCGTTTGGAAGAGAGCGTCATTTGGGAAGCTTTGTAAATTTGAGATCATAAGTGGTCATGAAGGACAGTGAAGTGTTTGCAGGCAAGTTTTGATAGAATTGGAGGTGGGTTTTTGCTCTACAGTGGAAGTCTTGATAAGAGTTGAGGGTTTGGTGGGTTCCTAAGTACAGTGAAGAAGAAACACAAAACAACTCAACACAATAATCCCACCAAGCTCTACTCTCAACAACAAATCCATTGTTGGATAAGGTTGTGTTTCAGTTGATAGAATCAAACCTTTTGTGGACTAAAGAGTTGTTATTGGTTTGATTCTCAACAGTGATCTGTTCCTGGTAAAGCTTGCAAGGTTCTGTCATGAAGCAGCAGATTCCTATTTTTTTTCTGTATCTGCTGATTGGAGTAACATACAAGATAGAGGGTTAAAGTTTGAAATTTTTCCCCCTTTTTTTCTGTCTGTAATTGCATTGATACTTTTCTGTTTCTTCTTCTTGTGTGTCATTCAATGTATGATATTTTTCATAGGATTAAATTTAAGGGTAGAAAGTGGAGGGACATAAGATATAATTATGGATTCAATTTTTTAACACGTTTATTCTGTTTTTTTTAATTGTGATTGATGTAATTATGGATTCAAAGCTGGAAATTAAAAAAAAAAAAATGTTTCTCATGTGGTTGCATGATTGATTATGGTACATTCATTTGTAGTTAGTAGCAGAACATGGCGTTTACAATTATCAAAGTGACACTTGGCATCTGTTTCCTAGGTATCATTATTGAAGGCTCTTCACCAACCACAAAACATTTAAAAATAAATAAATAATAAAATATTTGTTGGAATGCTAAGATTTAAAAAATTAATGTTTGTACTAATTTTATGAAAAGCATATCCCTTATTAATGGCAATTTGGTCCAGATCATTCACTCTCAAAAATCATCAAAAGCATCAAAAATTTCATCATGAAGAACTGAGAGGTTAATTTGAAATACGTTTACAGAGAAGCAAATCACTATATTGAGTTTCTAGCTCATAAGGCCTCTCTAGCAAATATTTTGATACTACTTATTGGATGACACTTTCATAGATTGTAGAAGCATTTTATTTTCTAACATGACTGACTTTTATCCTTTTGTACAGTATTTTTACGATGGCTTTATATTTAAAATAAATATAAATAAGACATTGTTACGAAGACACTGAGATTCTTCTCCCAACAAACTATTCTGCTGTATTTTAAGCTAAAGAATCTGTCCTTTTTGTTAATTGCATAAAGTCTTAACTGGTATGCGTATATGTGCTGCCTGCTACAGTTGTTGGTGGAGATGAATTTTATTTTGAAGATAGTAATGGCTAAAGCTGTCAATTAGGACCCTTAAAACGCCAGGGTCTAAACAGGTTAGCCCTAATAAGCTCGATTGTGTGTCAGAATTTTCATTTTATAAGGCCCGGTCCTAGCCCTCAGGGCTAAAGGGCCGGCCCTCAGGACCCGACCCTATTTTTTTAAAATTGTTTGTTCAATTAAAAATTATAAAAAAATATATTTATAATTATAAAAAAATTATTATTCATAAAATTAAGTTTGAGAAAATAAATTTAAATCATTACACCACAACAATAAAGAAAAACAAAACATTTAGGTCTAATATCAAATAGCAACATCAAATGAATACCAATAAAAATTAAACTTAGTTAATATTATCAGCTAAATCTTAATAAATAAATGAGGGATGGATAAATACATTTAATATATTCATTTCTTTGAGTTATGTATTTAATTTTTTATTTTTTTATTATAATTTAAAAAAAAAATAATAAAGGTCTAAAAGGACGGCCAGGGCTCTTTTATTTTTGGGCTTAAAGGCCCTTTTAAGCCCGATTTACTTTTTTAAAAGTTAAATAGAAGCCCGGCCCTCAATTTTTTCGGGCTTAAAAGGGCTAGCCCAGGGCTCGACCCTAATTAACGCTCTAATAATAGTTAATAAAAATAAGGCAAGAGTTTATGAACAAAAAGAAGACAACGTCATTTGTGACAGAGATTCATGCTATTTACTTTGATTGTTTATGAACAAAACATCATCAGACTTTGATTGTTTATGAACAAAAAGGCATAAGAAATTAATATAACTTGTGTGGATAATCAAGTCTCATCTCCTGCATGGTATTGAAGCTAAGAAATAGACTATTCTTAACTAAGTTAATAAATATGTAAAAATTAAAGTTACTTATTTAAATGGCAAGAGTTTATACTATCTACGTTAACATAAGTTAGTTTCTATAATTAATAAAATACATATAATAATTGACTCTCCAGGATCTGTATAGAATCTTGGTTGTTAGTGCTACTAAGAAAATGAAAAATGAAACCATATGCTTCTTATTATATGCTAAAGTAATTCATAGTTATTCAAATAAAAAGTGGGGACACCAAAAAAAAAAAAGTATATATATATAGACTTCTCTTTATGTCGCTCCACCGACCATTTGGTATAAAGGAACTGAAAGTTTATATATATATATATACAGGACCCAAGACTTGAAACAAGGAGAACTGTTCCCTAAAATTATGTATAAAGCCACCGTTATTAGTATTCCTTTGGCGTTCCTAACGTTGTATTGGACCACAAACAACAAAATAGAATGAATGTTGAATTCAAGTAAATAATGAAGGCTATCTATGTATCATCTGAATCATCAACTTTTTTTTTCTTTTTCCTTTTTCTCTCATGTTCTTTTCATAAATGTGATAGTGAGACTTGAAGGGGAAATTGAGAAAAAGATTGAACTCAAGTTAGATTGAGGTAGCATTTAAATTGATAGATTAAAATTAAAATTTAAAATTTAAAATATCACATTTAAATCTATGTATTTAAAATCTTTTGTTTGGATAGGGTAAGTTTTTTTTAAAGGAATTAGAAGAGGGGTGAGCTGAAATTTGAAATAGAAACAAAAGATTAAGAATAACAAACTTATCTCTATTTTTTTTTCATCAGTAAGAAATGAAAGTAATAAGCCCATCGGTAGTGAAACCTTAAAAAAATGAGAGAATCAGATTTGGTTATGTATCTTGTGATCAATTGAGTTATCTTTTCTACAGTATGTCTTCTCAATCAACCATCTTTTTATATCCTTCTGTCTCATATTAATGTTAAGCATTTATCGATGAAGTCAGTTTAGTAAAAAAAAAAAAAAAAACTAGGTTCTCATAATTTAATGAACCAACTTCAAACCCCTCTTAGAAAATAGATTATAGTGTGGTTAATGAGTTAAACTGAGCCACTTTTGTATTGAGGTGACAAATTGGCTAATCCAACCGTCCAAGTCAATCCAAGTTTTAAAAACATTACATTTTATATAACGTATTTCTTGGACTCTGTATAACTTAAGCAATCCACCTTAGTTTGCTAAAATAATGTATGCCCCTCATTTTGACCACCTTAGTTGTGTGCATGCAAAGAGGATTGAAGTAAGGATTCAAAGCAACCAATTACAAAGGCTTCACCTAATGGGGGTGCCAAACTTGAAAGCTCCACTCTTTTTTTTTAATTATTTGTTTCAAAAGTAACAATTTTAAATACTTTGGTTGAGTTCTTCATCCTTGAAGGGCTGCACTTGTGGGATTAGAGTATGAATTCTGTGCTTAATTACAAAAATATGTGCATTAAGAATATTCTATCAGGCTTCAAACTTTGAATGAAGTGGAAAAGTCAGTCAGAAACAGAGGCCACTCAAAAAGCAAAGTGTATATATAATTTTAGTATATTGATATGTTCTTGAAAAATTAGAAAAACTTTTAATCAATGGTTCCATTTGTTTATTCAGAGAGCATAAGTTGGGTAAGACATTGATTCATCGTGTTGATTTGTTTAAGCAAAATACAAGCTGGACTTGTTCAATAAAAAACAAGGGTCTATGAAGAACCATCGTTGAACTTTTACAACCCTAGATTTAATTCTTGCTCAAAAAGGTAACAACTAAATAGAATGAAAACTCTTTTCAACTCTTTCTAGTTCACCAATAAAAAACTGGAGCACCATTGAAACAATAAGCTTGTGGTATAGTGCATCTTCTATTCTTTAATTTTATACAAGATTTTCTTTTGATCATTTAATTTTATAAATATTTTTTAATTCTATAACTCTAATTATGTTAGTTTTATTAGCAAAAAAATGTTGATATTGAACTTTTAATTGTTAAGAGATCATTTTCGAATATTAACATATACAATGAGCAACATAAAAAATATTAGACTAATAAAATTAGAGTTAGAAGGGTAAAAAATTACAATATAAAATAAACAAACTAAACTAAAACTTTGTAAAGTTAAATGACCAAATGCATATTTTTGCTAAAACTTCTCAACATTAGTGTAAATTAATCATTTAACTTATGAAAAATTGCTCTCTTTAATACTATTTTCATTCTTATTTATAAATCACCTTTTTTATATAACAAATCAACTTTTATGAGTTTTTGGCGTTCCTATTTTAAAGTTATTTTACAAGATCTACAGAACAATTAATATATTTTTCTAATAATGTCCTTGTCATGAAAATTGTCAAATAGTTCTACTGAAGTGGGATGGAGAGAGATCATCAAAATTCTGCATTGAATAAGGGTGCTTGTAAAAAGATAGGCTAATTTTAGGACAATCAATCAATTAATTAATTCAAATCTCACAAGGTGATAGATTCAAATCTTCTTGTTAATGTAAAAATCACGCTTTAAGCCTAGATACATTCTTTGACTCTAGTAAATCCTGAAAACTCAACTCATATAAACTACATAAAAACTGCATAAACGCCAATGTTGGCATCATAATGAACAGGTCAAAAAAGGGCAGAAACTTGAATTACAAAACTATAAGCTAAAATTCCACCAATCACCTCAAACAAAGTCAGTATAATATAAGCAGAGCATTCCTTAAGAATCTATTACAACAGTATTGGGATACATCCCTTGGCCATACCTAAAGAACACCAGAACTTTCCCCCTTGAATATAAGTTAAACGACTATTTCAATCTTAAGATAACAAGTCACGCCAAAGAGTGGGAAAACCATTCATGGAACCCAAGCAATATGATGACAAGAATGAGAGTCCGGACTCCTGATCCATGGACATGGAGGTTGACCAGTTCATACAAATGTTGAATGAACCACGAACAGTAATCAGAGATAGCAACCACAATTCCCAAGGGAGAAGTCAGTGCAGGAATTATGGCTTCACACTTGTTTGTAAAAGAGGACATATGCTTGATCATGCAACACCTTGTTTTCTCCAATGGCAAAGACTGACGCGTCATCAAATCGCAGCCACTGACCATTGGAGTATCGAGCATCAGCCGTGTAGTGGCCCTTCGAAGGCTCCCTTCCATGGTGAGTTATTGTAGCAACAAGCTCATATCTTCGGCCCTGCAGACGCATAAAAGTTGATCAGCAAATTTTCCCTTTACATAAATACTTACCTAGCAAAACAAGACTGTCATGGACAGCGGTCTCCTTTCTGAAACCCAATGTCAATAATAGTTATGTCAAAAACCTCTTTAGATGAATAATGCACTATGAAGTAATTCAATAAAAAAATCATTTAAGATGAACTGACTAGAAAATTAATAACTGATGGGTCTACCCTAAAAGCTAGTGAGAGAACCAACCCATTTAAATACCCTGTTGAGCATCTCATACTACTCAATATAGAACTTGGCATCCCATGCTACCAAATTTCCATCAATTGGCTCCCATGGAAAGCCAATGCCTTGACAGTTAACTCCATAGCACTTAACTTGGCCTCTTGCCAATCAAAACCCTTCATAGGTCCTCTTTGGAACTACCAACAATCTGGCTCTAATACCAATTCATGGTTATCTAAGCAAGATGGAGAACTAAACCCCTAAAATAACCCATTGAGCATCCCACACTACTCAATGTGAGACTTGGCATCCCATACTATCAAGTCTACATCAGTAACCCATTCATATTTTGTTTGCAATTGGGAAAAGCTAGTGTGTGCAAGGGGAAGCGAAGAACAAAATAGCAATCTCCCAAAGAAAATTACTCGACATAAATGCACAAGAAATCAGATATCAATTCATATTTTTGTGTTTCTATCCATTTACCAACAAAAATCTCAGAATTGACTAGATCAATTGTGCGCAAAGCAAAGGAAAGGGATTCAGAGAAACACCACATTACCTCGGTAGTTGGCGATACAAGCAGATCACGACCCAACATCAACTGGAAAGGAAAATGCACAGGCTTATGCAACTTAGTGCTCCCTTGGCTTCCATAACTAAAACGCATTAGGTGCAATATCATTATCTTGGAAAGTGTCTGTATCTGTACAGATTTTCTTGCAGCCACAACGCCAGCCTGAAAGATATTTGTAATTATCAAAATATTATCAACAGAAGTAGGAAGCATAGAATCCAACCCAACATAAAGATCATGCCATTATTATACAAACCCAGTCTCAATATAGGAGGGTCAATAAATTCCAAAATGTCCAAGTATTATTGGCTATAATAATGGCCAAGTGTAAGGCCACAAAAAGATGCACACTAATTTGTTGATCCAAAGGAAGAGATTGGATATAAATGCAAATTCAGAGGTACCAAACGACCCTCCTGCAAAACTATGGAAAAAACAAAATCCAGATCATGGGGAGCTGAATGTAAATCAACATAGAAAAAGAATAATCAATAGTTCAAGATGTCTCTCAAAACCCTATTCATCTATCTCTAAAACAAATTAAGACACAATGATATACATTGACATTGGACCAGCTCCTACCTTAACAGAGAGTAAAAAAACAGCGAGATCAAAATTATATGGTATTGAACATTTGATCCAAAAATGATACCATTTCTCGGAAAGTAGATGTCCTGAAAACATCGCCAAACCTAACTGATTAACCCAGAAATTAAATTGGCATGGAAAGAGAATAATCGTTATACTTCTTAAGATCTTTTGGTAATGAACCCTATTCATTTTTCTTTGAAATAAAGACTCAAAAGACATTAAACATTTTGATATGGGGCAAATACCCAACCTCACAGACCAAATAGAAAACAGAGAACAGAGATCAAAATCAAATGGTTTTGATTTTAAACTAATGCCATATCTAGGAAATCAGATGCCTTGAAAGCTTCATTAAACCAAAATGATCATAGAAAAGGGAAGGCCATTACTAACAATATCAGTAAGTAAAATAAAGTGGAATCAAAATTATCAATGCAACTCAAACAGAAGGGTAGAGTGTTAACTGCTACATTGATCATAAAAAAGCTTCCATACCTTTCCAGTAACTGATGCTCGAAAACCTTCAAGAGTCTCAGGTGCAGAAAACAAGTGAAGTGCATCCTCAATGGTATTAACAGCATCAGGGTAAATGTCAAGGTGGAGCAAGAGATATGGTTGAATGGTGGCAGAAGCACGATTTCCTGAACAATAAATACACAAAAAAATGACCCAAATATAAGAAGAGACGACACTTTTCTCTTAGGGGCCGTTTGATACACAAAATGAAATGGAATAAAAAGGAAAATAAAATTGGAAAGGTGATATCATAGATGAAAAATATCCTTTATATCCTTAAATTAAAAATAATGGAAAACAGCTAATATCAAGTAATAATAACAAGAGAGCATTAGATATTCTTTTCCGTGCCAATGGAAAAGGAATCCATGGTAAAGGAATCCTATTTTCATTGTGAAGTTTTAACATCAACAGCATTGCAGTACCTGGATTAAAACTTTGCAAACCTATCTCTAAGTGAGAACGGGTATTGTAAAAGGTCATTCGAAAGAGTGCAAAGAAGAGTTACAGAACTATAGGAACTATACAATATGATGCAACACACAGACCAGACTTTAATACTCCTTTGAACTAAACTCTAGAAAACATCTCAACCATTTAAGATATCTAGTTTCTTCTTCTGTACTAATAACCCCTAATGGTTCATATCAATAATACTAAGAATTTAACAGTCAGACTTCCAGCTATCTCAAAAACCAATAAAGTTACCAATACAAAGTCTTCATTAATTATTTAATATTTTAACACACACGCACGCACTCACTTTTCCAAGATATTTCATACCTCTAGCTCTCACCAAACTTCTTAATTGTCCTCCAAAAATTTCACTTAATTCAGAAGGAAGGAAACTTTGGGTCCTTGTGACAGCAGATTTGTTCTTTGGTCCTACTGTCTCCCACTCATCATCTTCCACAGAACAAACTAGGGACGAGTTGCCCCCATTAACACTTGACTGTCCTTCAAGCTTCAGTAATTCATCGTGCATTTGATCCATTACAAAGCTCAGAAATTCCTGAGCATCTTCCTGCCTGAACAAAACCAAAGATTGTAGTGCAGCTTTAGCATACAAAAACCAATTATCTCATGCTCAGCCATGTGATTTCCACACTTCTAAGTTACCACAGAACTACCTAAATTGAGTATAAAACATTGGGAAGACATAGAAACATAATATATTTATAGTAAGCAATACAAAACTACAAAGAAAATAACAAATAAGGAGACAGAGAGGGGTTGAAAAGAAGGCTATTAAGATTGTATTTCTACATATGTACTACTCTGGTCAAAGAATTTAAAGTGGGGGGGCAAAAATAAAGCTTTTTAAAGATTATATTTTCCCATGCATGTTATATAGAAAAACAACTCTTTGTTTGAGACCACGTCTTCCGATTCCCAATTCAAAGATTAGAGGGAATATCTATTTCATAGTCATTTATTGTTGTAATGCTGTCAACGCTTTTAAGGTGCTAGTTGCTTATGACATGACCAGAAAAGATACAATCCTAATTATTAGTATCTTCCGTAACATACCATAAATAGTAGAGTAGTAGACATAGCAAAGAAGCGCTGAAGAACAAGAGAAATGATTCTAGAAGGAAAAACACAAAAACCAACTCTGACAAACCTTGGTCTTCCTGATATGCTATTTGGCACATCTGGAGTAAAATTCTTCAGAACCCCTTCAAACATGGCAGGGCAAAATGGCCTTCCTAACTCAAGGGCATCATCTTTCTTCTTTACATTTGTGCTATTTGGCATGTCAAATTGAGCAATAAACTCAGCAAATGCAGTCAATGTTGGATAGCCAGCCTAATAAAGAGCAAAGAGAGACGAGGCCATAGTTAGCACCTGATGCCATAAAATATCAATTAAAAGATTCTATTTGTATTTTTCTTCAAAGTAGATAAGTCAAACAATCAAGAAATAAGTCCAAAAATTAACACCAATCTTTTTTCCAATCCAGATTTCAAATCTTTCTTTTGCAAGTTCCATACAGAACAAAAGTCAAGCTAAAATGTTCAAGCAGCAGCATATGATCATGTTAGAATAAAATTATCCATGCTTGTACGCTTTACAACTTGAGCTTTTGAGTTGAAGTGATGCCAACCTTAGGAAACTTGCGGGTTCTTAATTCCTGCAAAAGCTGAACAAAATGAGAGCATGACAAGAGAGCTTGCACAGTTGCGTTTAGGAAGCACAAGTTTCCAGAGTTAATAAGGCCTCGAGGAAGGAGCTCTTTAGAGAGGGTGACATGCCCATTTGATGCGTTCTCAGAGTCTTGATCAAGACTCCCATTTTCATCTACATGCTTCAGGCTTCCAATCTCAGAATCATTCAGTTTCAAACTTGCAAACTGATTCAAGGGGCCATCTATATCAGAGGGCATCGTGTAAGAGACACTTTCCTTTTTAACTTCATTTACATCAACTATATATGAGGGACCAATGACGAGATTGGCATTGCTTCCATTCTCTTTTACAGTTCCTGATACTCCAGGTAAATTATTATTGACTATATTAACATTATTCAGTCCATTACATTTGTGAGAATCAGAGGGAGGAATACTCTCTGATACTTTTGGTGATTCTCCAGGTAAATTATCACGGACTGTATTGACTTTGTTCGCTTCATCACACTTATGAGAATCAGAGGTAAGAACACTATCTGATATTTCTGTGGATTTTGGCGACTTGCTTGATTCACCAGTAATACCAACTGAAGATCCATCAGTTGAAAAATTCAGAGAACCAAATTGCAGCTGATTCTTCTGTACAGGCTTTTTATTCCCACCAGAAGTCTGTTTTAGCAGCAATGATCTGGTTTCATCTTCAGAGAATGATCCAAATAACAGCAACTTCTGAAGAGGAAAAGCCCAAAAACGGGGGGGAAATGTAAACAATAGTAATTTCGAAGGGAAAAAAATTAAATTACACTTTGAACATATATGACATAACAAGTTGACACGACAATTGAAATTCCAGTTAATGATCAAAACAGAAATAGATGAAAAGGAAACTTGACTACATAGTTGGTATTTCTGTAAGCTATGTTAGCTCAGTGGCCCTACAAGAAAATTGGATATGCAGTAAAAATTAACGGAAGGAACGTTACATGATCAAAATGGAAACTACAATCAGGCCAAATATGCCCAGTTTTAAACCTCTATCAGGGGATAAAACAACCAAACAGCTAAATCGGAGACAATCTTAACTTCGGAAACCAGTTTCAAATATTCACGTTAACGATGTAATGGCAATGTTATATCCACAATCAAACCACATACTCAATTCTCATCTCTCTACTAGCTCACCAAAATCAGCCCAACAACACAAAATTATTTAAAAAAAAAAGAAAAAGAAGACAAAAAAATCCCACCTTTGGATCACTCATGCTGCTAACGAGACCGAATTTTGCAAACCCGGAAACCACAAATCGAATCTTAATTTTCCGCTACAAGGGTTTTGCTTTAAAAAGGAAACAAAATCAAAAAGCAGGAGTATTTGGGACCCTAACGTAACAGAGGGGAGAGAGACGGCAATTGAAGACATTAAAGGGAAAAAAACTGGGCAGAGGTTGAAGAGAGAGAGCATTTAACAGAGGAACCCTCTCCTTTTGGACCTTGGCAGCTAGACGGAGCATTGACAAGAAAGAGAATGAAGGAAGAGATTACTATAGATGAGTCGGTTCCGGTTAGGGTTAAGCGAATGATGTTTATTCTTAAAGGTGGAGGAAGATCAACAGTGGCTCACTGACTCGCAATTGGCCAGCAGTTTGGCTACTGTCTAGTGCCTCCTCTTTCATTGTCTGGGTGATATCCAATGAAACATATACATGTATCATGCATATAATAAGCACATACATATATAGAATTTAAAACACGAATTAGAGACAGGAAACTACAGATAGATTTGGATTGGATAGATTGGATGATAAAACCTAAATTAATATAAAACAGATAGATTATCTAATAGAGAAAATAAAAATAATATAATTTTTTATTAGATTATAAAATTTTAAACTAATGAAAATAATGGGACACTAGATTTTAAAATTACAAAATCATCAATTAAAAATTAAAAATAAATATAGATTATAATGTTTAAAAGGATTGATTAATATTTTATTTTATGGCTAAAATGCTGTCCTAAACTTTTATATAGTTACCTATAACTTCTATCATTTTTAAATGTTTAAAATTAATTTCTCTAATTTTTAATTTTTTTAAACCCATTGCTATTAATTATTGGAATTATGAAAAATCATATAGAAGCTCACATGGTATTTTATATAAGTAAATAATAAATATATACAACTAATATTATTTTTTTAAAATATTTACTTTTGTCTTAGTTTTAAATATTTACTTTTATATCAGTTTTATTTATGTTAGTTTTATTATCAATGATGCATAGTTTTTTTGTACTGAGTGATAAATTTTTATTTATATAATTCTTATTAATAATAACTTTTAGATATTTTTTTCATTTTTTTAATATAAAAAACTATTTTAATTGATAAAGAATAATAAAATTATAATGTTTTAATTAAATTATGTTAACATTGAATAATTAAAACAATGTCACTCAACTAAAAAACAATAAGAGCATAGCCATGCATGTTAAAAGTAAAGATCACAGTTTTCCCTTCCTTAAATTGTGTTAAAAAAATTAATAAAATGTTTTGCCATGTCATGTACCACATATATTCCATTAATATGACATGACAAATTCTATTAATAACATAACAAAGTTAATCAATAATAAAAAGCTTTGAAAATAAAATTAAAATTTAGAGGAGTTAGTTTAAAATGTTTTAAAGTAGGAGGTCATATGTAACTGTTTTAAAGTTCATGAAAGTTTACATTTTAACCTTATGTTATTAAGAAATGAGCTTATGTAACATCCTAGTTATATTAGAAATTTAATCATGAGAATTATGGGTTTGAGTAAGAATTTTGCAATAGAATTTATATATAAATTATTGTTAAGGTTGAACTTAGGAATTAAATTTGGGACAATTGATAATTGAGATTCATTAATGGTTCAGACACAATTATAGACAAAATAAGCCTAAGGACATGTAATGGGTTGAATTGGACCCAACATGCTGGGCAAAATGAAACTTAACGTTTTTATGCCATACGTACTGGTACATGGTGCGTCCACCATAACACATGTCACAGAAACTAGTTTAATAAATTTGTTATCATGACAAGTGAGAAGGAGAAAATTTGAGGTGTTCTAGAGGTGTTTTTGGCAATTTTTTTATAGGCTGTACCAGGGTTTTGAAGTCTACAATCTTAAGACACATTTTTGGGCTCCAAATCACAAAGGTAAGTTTGATTGATCTTCATTCTATCTTCTAATTTTATCCATTTGACAGTTTAAATAATTGGTAAGGTTAGGGTTTCATTTTTACAGATACCTAACCCTTAAATTCGAATTTAAAGTGTTGTTTGAGATTAAATAAATGTTGTTTAAGTAGTTTTAGTATTGGTTAAGGTTATAGGATGATTATATTCAAAACCTTAGGTTTGGAATTAAAACATTAATGAGGATTTCAAATTTTAAGGGCTAAATCTATATTTAAGGAGTGCAATGAGGATTAATGGAAATAAAAGTGATGATTTAAGTGTATGGGTGGTGATAGGGTTAAGGCATTAATTAACCTAACCCTATGATTAGTATGTGATTAGTTGTTAAATAGTGTGATTAATGTCTAAGTGATGTTATTAGCTATAATCAGAGTATATTAATGACGAAAAGTATCATGCTTTGTGTAGATTGTGGTGGTGACACTTTAAAGGGTGGTCATTTGTGTTTTGGGAGAAACTTTGCTTACAAGGTGTAAAGGTAACCACTTTAACTTATTTTAGTATGTGACTTGTGATTGATAAAGTGAAATTTTGGTATAAATATTTGTCTTATGAAAATGTGTACATCAAAATTAAATACATATATTCTGAAAAAGTTGTGTTGCCAAGTGGAACTATGAAATGCAAAAATGTGTTTTAAACTAAAATGTGTACTTGAAACCATGTTTTATCTTGTCCCATTGGGCCCAATGAGTAGAGCATGTGGCTTGGGCTAACTTGCCTTTAGCTAATGTAAGTTAAAGTAGCGAGCATGGTGTAAGGAAAATATAAGATAGTGTCATGCAAATTGTGAAATTTGAAATATCATTGTGTATTGAAACTTGTTTTTACTTGCCCCTTTTGCAATCCACATTATTAATTGCATACTCATGCATCATGACATTTTAAATTAGTTACTGGAACTCTCACGTCTCATTCCTTATTGTTAACTATTTTTCAAGGAAGAGCTCAGTCGAAATAGCACCTGAGATATAGTATCGGTGTGTGGAACACCATTTAGTTGTAGGGCCTCATCTTTATATTTAATATATATATATATATATACTAACTTAAGGGTACTCATGTTGTAAAGTGAGAATATGACTCCTCTTTTGATACAAACATGTTTATGCTAGGCATGTAGATGGTTTTTGACTCTCATGATACCATTTGAGATATTTTGGAACACGATGATAATCATGTGATGATATTATAATGCATCACAATTAACAATTAATTTTTGTTCATTTTTAACTCTCTTAAGTGATTGTAACCCAACTATGAATATATGTGTCTGCTTAGGTAGTTCCATTTTTATAAGCATTATTATGTGTATGCATGGTGTAGTCAAGCATTCTATACCTTAGTTAATGGTTTTGGTGGTGGTTAAAATTTCTAGAAAGTGTGATAATGTGTTTTGGAAACATTGGAGGTTTTAATGGATAAAATATTTATATGGTGGATCTTGTATGCCAAACTAAAACCATTAGCTAAGTTTACTAAATAAACTTCATATAGATACTTGAATCATCTAATTTAGATGTATGTGTTGGAAGTTATGTGCATTTGAAATTTAGAGTTGGGAACTAAAATTTGACAACTTAACCATTATTGTCATGTGTAATGCATTGCAACCGATGTGCTTATGCTGTGACACACTATCATTTGAGGCCTCATGCCTATGTGTCATCTGTAATATTCCAAAATTTAATCTAAAATTAATTAAGTTAATCAAAGGCAAATGAATAATTTTGAAAGAGTAGTTAGAGATAAATAATTTTAGTTAAGGGATCAAGAATATATTATCTTAGTTGGCAATATCATAAACTAAATACACTTGTCAAAATAAAAGGAGAAAGGCCTACAGAAGTGATTATTATCACTTGGCCTAATGCTCCTTTCCTCTGTTCTTCCCAAATGAGCTAGTTCCTGTAATGTGTTAAAAGAGAAGGGTGAGTACAACCACTTAGTAACCAAGGTACATCTAAGTTATACAAATATATGATAATTAATCATAAATGCAAGTAGCTAATAAATTTATCAAGATAACCATGTAAACAATCATATCAAAAATATGTTAATCACACTAATATCTAACTCATGTGAATAATCTCAAATATAAAGTCAAGTACAAAAGTAACACAATCTCCTACAAGTACTGAATATTCATATAAAATTGACACAAATGGCCACATATACATTATTCACATATTTATCACATGTTTTCATTTTTACAATTACAATCATATTCTCAAACATAGTCATTAATTACTCAAATGGCATGATAATAATAATATGCATGATCAATTTCTTTCTTATATCCTCCCTTATTTCCTCTGATAAGAAATCTGTGGGCCAACAACCGAAAGGGATCGTCCATGTGATAAGACCACTCAAAACCTTAATCATATCTTGAGGGGCCACCGGATCAAGGTTACCTTACTCATTTATAAACACGGTTTTTCCCAAATCTCACACTATGGGGTGATATACCCAAAATTAGCTCTAGCCAAAACTCTAGGTAGGCTAATAGGGTCAAGTCCTTTAATAGGAATAATGCTACAGTACCTTACAAGGCAAATAGCAACTATAACTCCTAGGATTATTTATTAATAGTTAAGTATCATATGAATTTTGCACAACTGCTAACTCCTTCACTAAGGCTAACTCTTGCCATATGATCATGCTCATGAAAAAATGTATTTCAAAAGCTTATATATATAATTCACAATTATCCCACATGATTATCAACTTTCTTGCTCAACAAGCATCAAGAATCATCATTTTACAATCATGCCTCTTGTGTAACATCCTGATTTTTATATAATAAAGAAATTGTGGAATTTAGGATTTGAGGAAAAAAATGATAATAATAGGAATTTATGTTATTTAAGGTTATTTAGAAATAATATTATGGTTAGGTATTTAATTATGAATTTAAAAATTTAAATTTAAAACCACATAAGCAATATTTAGTTAAGATATAATACATAAATAATTTTTTTATGTGTGTGTTAAAAAAAAAAAGAGAAGGTAGAAGGAACAAAAAAAGGGGGGTGGAAGGTTATTGTTTTTAAGTCCCACATTGGTTAGATGAGGGAAGAGAAGAGGTGCCTTCATGTATAAAAAGGAGGGGGTGTGTGCATTAGGAAGCATGAGAGGCTAAGATGCAATTTAGAAGAAATTGCAACTTATGGCCCAAAGGTTTGAATAATTAAATTCAGACCTATAGTTTTTTTTAATATAATTTTGGGACTCACAATCTCATTTTTATATTATTTTTCTCTCTTCCTCTCACGTTGCTCGGCATTTTCTCGCGAGGGGGATTATTTTCTTTTTCTTCAGGTATATTCTAACTTTCCTGTTTAGATTAGCATTTAAAAATTTATTTAATTACAAAATTAATTTTATAGTTATTTTCTAAATAATATTAGCTTTCTAGTGATATGATTATTTT